ATTGTAACCGAAAACAGTGCAGCATAAAATAAATCCCCAAAATAAATAGCTCTGTAAGTTTTCGACATTGGATTCTGACCACATTAGTTTTAATGGACTCACCTAGTTGAAGACAGTCGGTCATGCATCCGCACCAGATCACGTGTGGGGACGCCGTTCTCAACAACCCCTGTAATCGCCAGCCAGATTAGACCAGACGATCCTGGATATATTGTTAGTCACCAAATATACCTTCGAACTTCTTCGATTCTGTCTTTTGATTTCTCTTGGTGAGTACGAGTTATATTGGGTGTGTTGAAATTGAACATGCCACATGTATTCAGTGTTCGACAACACTTTAATCAGTAACACCTTCTAAATTTGGTTGAAGGGCAGCCGAAGTTTGCTACCCATCGTTTAACGAAGGCGCGAGCTGCTGTCTCAGCAGTAATGTCCTTAATAGTTATTACTTCTGGCCATCGAGTGAAAAGGTCTACGCAGGTTAAGAGATAAGAGTATTCATTTGAATCTGTTAAAGGTCCTACCAAATCCAGATGAACAATGTCGAAACGGGCATCAGAAGTTTTAAATGAGCCTAGGGGACATTTATTGTGTCTGATAATCTTAGATTTTTGGCAGCTTACACAGGAGCGTGCCCATTCCCTCATGTCTTTATTCATACCAGGCCAGCAAAACCGTTCTGCTATAAGCTTGATGGTTTCACGAACACCTGGATGAGAAAGTTTGTGCAACGTATTGAAGACGTTGCATCGATAATGTCTCGTCACGATTGTGAGATCCTTACCTGTAGATGTGTCACAAAGTAAGGTTTCCTTACCTGTTCTCATCTGTTTGATGCGTAGTTTGAGGGTTGTAGATGATAACTGGTGCTGAAGATCAGTGAATTATTTTTGAAGCTAGATGGATTTAAGAAAGTCGATTCATTGGAAACTGTTCAAGGAAGTTATGCGAGACAAAGCGTCTGCGACTAAATTGTTTGCTCCAGAAATGTGTTGAATATCTGAAGTAAACTGCGAAATGTAGTTCAGTTGTCGAGACTCGCGAGGTGAGTATTTGTCTGAAGAGGAGCTTAAGGAGAAAGTAAGAGGTTTATGGTCAGTGAAAAGGGTGAATTCACGGCCTTCTATATAATGTTGAAAATGCCGTACAGCACAATACATAGCTAGGAGTTCCCTACCGAATGTGCTGTACCTCGATTCGGTGTCTAGCAACCGTCTGGAGAAAAATGCCAAAGGTTGCCAAAAGTTGTTAACCCGTTGTTGTAAGACTCCTCCAATTGCTGAGTCGGATGCGTCTACTGCGATGCTAATGGGTGCTTGAGTGTGCTGATGTGCAAGTATTGTTGCTTTAGCGATAAGTTCCTTAATTGTGAAGAATGCTTTTCGTGCAGTGTCGTCCAAATTAATGAATTTCGCATTTCCACGAGGGTGATCGGTAATGGGTTTCATGAGTAATGCGCATTTAAGTATGAATCGTCTATCGAAACTTACAAAGCCGGTAAGGGGTCGAATGCCTTGAGCATCTATAGTGTTTCCTAGGATGTCTAATGAGTCAACTCCAATTAGGCACGTCTGAACGTTTACAGTAATGCCATGTTTTTGTAGCCAGTTGAAAACAAGATCCACATGCTTGGAATGTGATTCTTTGTCCGGACTTGCGATTAGGCAGTCGTCAACATACGCATGTACGAAGTTGAGACCTCAAAAAACGTCATCTATGAATCTTTGGAAAGTTTGAGCAGCGTTTCTTAGACCGATAGGCATTCCCGAAAGTTCATAGAGTCAAGAGGGAATAATGATGGTGGTTTTCGGTATGTCGCCTGTTGCCATGGGACGCCAATCGTTGCTGTCCGTTTTAGGGACCACGTGCAACGGAGACGCACATGGGCTATTTGATGGTCGTATGATTCCTAAGTCTATCATGTGGTGTAATTCGTTTTTCGCCAACCTTAGCTTTTCGGGAGCTAGTCGTCGTGCTTTAGAAAATATAGATGGTCCTGTAGTCGTGATGTGATGTGTAACATTGCTGGTTACACACGGTAATTTCGGCTGCGTTTGATGAATCCCAAAATACTTATCGAGTAGTGGTTGATAGAGTGGGTCTATCGTATGCTTAATTGTGACTGGGAATAATCTGCAACCAGAAAAAAAAGTTACGCAAACGGATAAATTGGTGTTTCCGTCTATTAGCCTCCGTTTGCGCGTATCGATGAGTAGATTGTGGTGTCGTAGAAGGTCTATACCAATGATCGGCATAGAAACATCCGAAACAGCGAAGATCCAGTTTATAGGTTTGCGTAAACCCACATTAAGATAAACGTACCTTTTACCGTATGTAACGATAGGCTTTCTGTTTGCCATTCGTAAGTTTAAAGCCGATTCGTGAAGCCGGTCGTTAGAATTTGCAGGAAGAATGCTAACTTCTGCGCCGGTATTGACGAGGTAGAGAACTTTCGTTGTCACGTCTGTGACGTATAACAGACAGCTATGTTCTACGGCTACGGTTGTCGTTAACGCGTGCCGGCTTGGAAGTTTCCCAAGTTGTTTTTCGTGTCGGTTGATTTTGAGTTGGGAAAATTGTAGGGTTTTCTGCGAATTCTGAAAGACTTTCCATACTGGTTATGATAACAGAACCAGTCTGAGTTATCAGTCTCTCCTGGTCTAGAGACAGAACGCTTATGTGAAGTGCTTCTTTGCAGGGTGTGTGACAGTTTACGACCTTTACGAAAATTAAGATAACGTGTAAGCGTATGGCATAACTCAGTTATGTCATTCTGGGCCGTTTGAGGCTTTTCTTTGACTGAAAAAACCTCGGTAGAAGATTTCGTAATTTCTAAGATACGATCTGCAGATGCAGCCAGCTCGTCTAAGGCGTTGTTTTGAAACGAGACGAGAAACGCTTGCACCTGTTGAGGGAGTTTGGATAAGAAAAGTTGTTTGAATAATGTTACGTCCATGTTTTTGCCCGTTCCCGTAATTGAAGTACGGTATATCGATCCATTTGCAATTTACAAACCCAAACTAACAATAGAATCAATCTCCAATTTAGATACCAAAGTTTATTCGCAAGTTACAAATATTCGACCCAAATGTCGTTCTAACAACAATAATTATAACAATTACAAAACAAACCTTCAATTTTGTAGGTTCTCGGAGCGAAATCTCCCAAATACCAAACCAATGACAAAGAGAAACCAAAGTGTCCGGAAAGAATTATATAAACGAACAAGCTCAAAGGTTAAGTAAAACAAATACATCCAAAAACACAGTAAAATTATCGATGTACAATAAAAAGGTTTTAATCAACAAAGTGTCTACAGTTCTCCCGTAACAAATAGGCCATCATTGAAGGTTCTTTGGCCGGTAACCTCTCTCATTCTTCGCAACATGTCCGTCGCAGAACCGTATGGCAGGTCTATGTTATTAAGGAGATGGTCTAACCTCTGTCGATCGGTTAGGTCTCCTCGTTTAAGTATAGAACGCTTTAAGGTTTCGTACGGTTCAGATACATCACTAGTAAACATACTAGGTGTTACGTACATGTTGAATTCCCGCGGTAGTGCCTTGACTACTGCGAGGAATTGTGCTTGTGTGCCGTTCACGCCATGCTCGTGGAAATCGGCTTCGGCGTAGCAGAACCAGGCTTCGATATTGTCTGGCCAGAAGGGCATGAGTTGAAACGAGGGTGGGGACAAAGTCTTAAGCTTAAAAACTTTAGGTGTCTGTTCAGTCGTGAGGAAATATCAAGTACGATAATGAACGAGAGAAAAATATATATATCCAGAAATACACGAAAAAATATCACAGGGTATAAAAATTCAAGATAAGGCAATGATATGTGGAATCTCAAAATGGAACAGACTCACAGTTTACGATTTGGTGTACCAGATCACGTTAGACTCACCAATGAAGATGGCACAGGTATTCAGTGTTTGACAACGCTTTAACCAGTAACACCTAATATAGCTCGTACTCACCAAGAGAAATCAAAAGACAGAATCGAAGAAGTTCGAAGGTATATTTGGTGACTAACAATATATCCAGGATCGTCAGGTCTAATCTGGCTGGCGATTACAGGGGTTGTTGAGAACGGCGTCCCCACACGTGATCTGGTGCGGATGCATGACCGACTGTCTTCAACTAGGTGAGTCCATTAAAACTAATGTGGTCAGAATCCAATGTCGAAAACTTACAGAGCTATTTATTTTGGGGATTTATTCACCGCTACATATCACTCTCCCTCTAGTGGGATAGTGATAACCCTAATACGTGTTCGGCAAGAAGTTTAAATTCAACGAGTTTTTCGTTGGTACTCTCTAGCCCATAAATTTATTCCTATTGAAGTATGGGAATGTGTGATTAAACACTGATTCATTCTCGTAGAAATACATATTTGTTAGCGCAAATGTATTCATGGATGACTCTTTTCGTTGTTTTCTGGGTGTTAATTTAAAACGAATGATTGAAATAAAGTTTTCGTGACAAACCTCTTTTAATTTTTTCCAAGGTTTGTAACCGTATTTCGGTAATCATTTCAACGAATTGTCTACGAATTATAGGATAAGTAGCCTCTCGTTCCGCGATCTGCTCTAAGATATTTATAAGACAGCGTTGAGTAAGTAGGATGGCAACAAGGTTTGATTCGGCTGATCTTGGAGGTCAATGGATGTGTAACTCTCACGGGAAATGTTTATATTATCCGAGACGATTTGCTGAATTTGGTTAGAGAATAAATAAAGTACGATTAGTTTAACATGAAAGATACTGAAAAGATGTCTTCGTTGTACTGTCTTATGCTTCATAAAAAGTGTTCTGCTTCATGTTTAGTAGTACTAATGAAACACAATACAGGCACCTCATCTGCTCAAACCGTTTTCGTTAAATTTTTTAATCATAAACGTTTAGGGCGCAGAGCTTTTCAGACCATATGAACATATGATAAAGACTTACTATTCGTCTGATTCAAATCCTCTTGGGAATCGAACGACTGTTGTCTTGCACATATTTAAAATGAGTTCTACTTGGTCTAGTGTGGGTTTTTTGTTTGTGATTCCATACTTCTTTATATGTACTCTCACATTTCTCACAAATCCAAGCCAATTTATCTCAAATTACTTGGGCGTGTGTACAATAATCTATTTTAAAGATAATTGTTCTTCTGGCAGTGAAAATAAACCTCGAACCAACTGCAATACCTTAGGCTTAAAGACTAAATTTGTATGTAAGGTGTTTCAGAGATTTCGGAATCTTCCCGTGCTCAGGAAGGCTGATTTAACCTATTCTGTTCGCAGTTATATTAACCAGTCACATATTGTCGGTTGACAACACATTGATAATAAATGTATTTCTTTAGCTGTGTTGATTAAAACTGCCTTCAGTGGCAACATTCTCATAGTAACCAATAACCAAGTACTGTGAAATTCAGTGTTAGTCCATAGTCGGAATTCCGTGCGTTCTAAACACTGCTTATTATATCCTGCAAATTTCTTGTTAATGGCTGGGTCTTTAGCCAGTCCCAGCTCTTTAGCAGCTTTACGTGTCCTAAATATAGCTTCTTATATTCAATATTAATAAAGACATTTTGAGGGTAAACATAAGTGATTTTCGCAAGCCACCTGAATTGGTGGGGTTAACCTTTGTAATATTGTACAACAGTTGTTCTCTCGACCATATTTACCGTTATTTTGTTAGTAAAATGTACTATCAGTCTTTTTTAATTCGAATAATGAACCATTGTTAGTTTAATGTTCCACTTTGATGTCTTTCATTAAGACACATCCAATATTTTTAAACTAATAGTCAGTTTAAACTTGACTGCATACCCCAAGTATCGTATGAAAGACCAGAACTTGATCGTTTCTCACTTTTTGAAGAACATAACTTTCGAAAGAAGCTTCCCTAAAATCGGTATGGCAAAAACCGGGCTGTGATTTGTTAAGTTAGCTATGTAAATCTATTTGTTCGTAAAAAAGTACTTCCTTGATAACTAAGGTCTGTTATGCATGAAGACTTACATAATTTAGAATTCAGTATTGCACCTGATTATCATTTAGTCAATTATTGATATCAAAACTGCACCAATATATATATATATATATATATATATATATATATATATATATATATGCGCCACAAATCGCTGAATTAGTGCAGGCTCTTCCTACTCTTGGCCGCACAAGGGCATTTGGCGTTAAGTGACAAACAGTTTCTTTGGTGAATATTGTTGCCTGTATTCAGGTAACCTATCTTGATACTGTCGTAAGCATTGACCCGTATTATTATTTTGCTTATCAGTTGGTTGTTTGTTCGGTTCTTATAAAGGCAACTAAATTTTCCTATCGAGGTCCATTAAGTATTAGAAGTCAACGTTATTCACCAACATTTTAGCCCTTAATATTAATTTTTACTTTTATCATAATTTTTTGGTTTCTGTATTAGATTTACGCGTTATTTGTATATCTTCGTGTTGGTGTTGGTTGTGGAAATTTCGGTTGTATCCTGTTGTTCTAGCGAACTTATCCTTACCTCTACAATTTTTACTTCAATTTCAAATGATCCTTGACAATTCTGACGTTAATGTTATTCAGTAGACTTAATTTTTCTGTCTTTTAGTTCACAAAACAAATCCGAAAATACTTATCAGACAGCGATGAGCAAATTGTTAAAATACTAAGAAGAAAATTTCTCCAGACGACCTACGAATTTCAGAAAACTGAGGTATCTAAACCCATACTCGACAAATGCATAGCGGAGATAGCATTCAATCCAGATAGAATCTATGTTATTTTGAATGACTTAAAAACAACCTTTAAGCTGCACACATCGAAAATTGACAAAAAGGTATTATAATCGTTGTCATGATCATTATTGTGTATCTTATATACAGTCCCAACAGGTTATTACCAAACGACGTATGGACTTCAAGACAATAAGTCAGGGTTAGTTTTCACTTTGGTGTGTGCTAGTACTGTCTATTAATGAATTGTAATCAACTCATAGTTTAATTTTTTCTGTTATTTATAAGTAGTTACTAAACAATAGACTAAGCTTCTCGTATCTTCACTACATCAGTATTTACAGCTATCTAGTGTAGAAACAGAATTCTTCTGATATTGATATTCGTGATAATTTGTGTTTAACTGAGATATTTGTTATTGATGAAACTAGTGGTCTTGATTGGTCAGCCTAGTAATAATGATATGTTCGACAAATTTTAGAGCAGTGTACGTATATTATCTGTCGGTGATAGAGTGTGTGTAACATTGTGAAGTAATACATCACGTAGAATCTTTGACAAAACCCCTGATTGTTTTGCCTCTACTATTCCTGTTTGCTATTAGTGAGCGGTCAGCACGTTGTTTTAATTATTGAACAAATCATAGTTTATGGATTCGTAAATTCCATTTTTGTTGTTGTTGTATTACGATAGTAATCGTGCAATAAAACTATGGTTGTGTAGTGTTCAAAGTGCTTGACTTTGACTTCTTGAATAGGGTCATTGAGCAATTAGTGTTTCGTACCATATGATTTCTTCAATACATGTATGTGCTTGATATGCCTACCTGTAACACGGAAATAGCTAAACAGTGTTGAGCTATCTTCTGTCCTCCTGTCATATTGGCTAGTTCAGGAGTGCAGATAATTTTTGATTTGTTAACATCGAAACAATTTATTTCACTATCAAGCTATTTATCTTAGCAGATATCGCAAACTAGCAGTCTTCTCATGCAGGATCCTGGTGTGGTCATTCACATGATCTCACCTCGTCAAAATGGAGAGCCGACGAGATACACCATCTGTGTATCTGGCGACCCGATGGCTAGTTCTCGTGGACTGGCAGGTGTAGGCATATCACAAAGCACAAGGGCGGAACTATCACTATTATCGTGGATCCCCGTTAACAGTCGTCTATGTGCTGTTCGGCTAAACGGCTCCTTATGAACTCAGAAGGATAGGGACACACGTCGCCGCCTTTGTCGTTTCTGCCTAAGCTCCCACTGACTGCAGCTCGGATGAAGTGAAAGATGACTTTTACAGAAAGCTTTCTAAACTTCTTCAGAAAGCTAAACGCTCAGATATAGTACTCGTAGCAGGTGGCTGTAATGCCCAGATAGGTAGCTTAAACCAAACAGAAAGACATTTAGATGGGTATTTTGTATTCTCGCTCAGCGAACAGATAATGGTGATCGTCTGCTACAACTGTGCTCCGAAAATCGTTTATTTTTAGCAAGCACTAATTTTAATTTATTTGTTTGAACACATAAATATTGGTACAAGGGGGCACCAGATATATATCCGCCATACACTAATTTTAAGCATGAGGAGAGACATCGTTTCACATAGTGACTCCCTGAACCAAACCAACGATGGACTCAAACAGACCATATTGCCATCAGTCATCGTTGAAGAGAGTCGATTGTCGCTTATTCTGCTCTAATACGGGCACGCATCTGCTTGTGCCTCACTGAACGCAGGAAAACCACGTTAAGAAGACCAATTTAAATTTAAGTAAGTGATGAGGAAGCCGAAAGAAGATTCCAGGAATAACTGAGGTCACACTTAGGTATTTCTAAAGACGAGGCTGACCGAGATGTTGCTTGGAAAGATATACAAACAGCTGTGGAAACAGCAGTGACATCTGTTAGTGATTTAAACCAAAGGGTTGCGAAAAACCAATGGATTTCTTCTAAGTCTATTGCACTGATGGATTCTCATAAACTCATCCCATCAGGCTCTGAACACGATGAAGAGCGAAAACAAGTCAGATCTAGGTTAACCAAAAGTTCAAGGAACGACCTTGAGCAGTGGTGGGCAACGAAAGCAAAAGAGATAAAAAATGCAGCAACTGTAGGTAAAACAAGACAGCTCTACAGACTAATAAAAGAAACTGGAATTAATAAGTCAAGCGCAAGTGAGACTATCTCAGAAAAAGACGGCACTATTATCTGCTCCCAGTCCAGACGTTTACAATGATGGGCGGAACATTTTAAGGAGTAGATCATCTGGTCTTCAGCTACCTTACAACTACCCTCCATTTCCAGACAGTGTGAATTGAACTCTGAAGTAGGTCCCCCGACGCTAGCTGAAGTCTGAATTGCTATAGTTAATCTGAAACGAGAAAAAGCAGGTGGTCCAGATGGATTGGCTCCAGAGGTCTTTAAGGATGGTGATCCAGTTTTAGAGATTAGGTTGACTAGTATATTAACTAAAATCTGGGAGCTGGACGTTATCCCATCTGGCTAGTCACAATCACTGATTGTCCCAATATATAAGAAAGGGTCAAAATTATCCTGTGACAACCATAGAGGGATTAGCTTAACTAATATAGCATCTGAAATACTAGCCTCGATAATTATCAGTCGCCTAACTAAGACTCGTGAACTGCAAATACGAGAGAATCAAGCTTGCTTCAGACCTGGTCGTGGATGCATCGACCACATATTCACCATGCATCAGGTTCTAGAACGCAGGCATACCTATCGGCGTCCGACAATGGTAGTCTTTCTTGACTTAAAAGTAGCATTTGACTCTGTAGACCGCGAGATTCTATGGCAGTGTCTGTCATTGAAAGGCGTACCTCAGAAGTACAGAAATCTTGTGAAGGCTCTTTACTCAAACACTACTAGTCGAATCACGGCTTATGGCGAACTGTCATCTGCTTTTGCAACCTCAAGTGGTTTCCGCCAAGGCTGTCCACTTTCTCCATTTTTGTTTAACTTCATCATAGACCTACTGACGGAAATAACGCTCTCATCGACTAAATCGTCGGGTATTAATCTTCCAGGAGGTCCACTTATCGACTTGGATTACGCAAATGACATAGTCCTGTTTGGTGAAGACGCGCCTTCGTGATGTTAGTCTGGCTGTAAGAGGTCGGATCTACAACGCGTCGGTGAGAGCAGTTTTGCTCTATGCTTGTGAAACCTGGCCTCTCCGAGTTGAGGATATTAGACGACTCTCTGTGTTTGATCATTGTTGTCTCCAAAGGATTACTGACTTTCAGTGGCAACACGATGTTAGTAATGCAGAGGTTCGGTATCGTGTGTTCGGGCACAGAGACGATAATGCAATTGGTGTCACCATCTTGAAACACCGACTTCGGTGGCTTGGACATGTTCTACGAATGTCGTCCCAGAGAATTCCACGTCGTGCATTATTTGCCGACTCTGGGACTGGTTGGAAAAAGCGGAGAGGTGGTCAGTGCATGACATGGTGTCGTGGTATGAAAGAAAGCTGCAAAGGACTGGCTTCTGTCGGTCCTTCACGACTCCCTGGTTGGGGTCTGAGAGATGGTGCTACACAGTGGCTAGAGACGTTATCAGATATGGCTCAGAATAGAAGCCAGTGGCGATCCTGCTGTAACCTTCTTTTACTTTCTTCATAAAAAGTGGTTGTGTCTCCCTTACTTGAAAGATTTCTTCTGATTGAACCTTTCTGTTCCATCGTTACGACCACACTACCTTTGTGGTCCTTAGTTTTTTTTTTCTCTCTTCGAATTTTCATTGTTTTGTGTGGCGCATATATATTGGCGCTCTCTTGTACCAATATTTATGTGTTCAAATAAATAAATAAATAAATAATGATAAAATTCAGTCTTTTGGTAGCAGTAAGCAACAATGCCTGTTAGCGTGGCTGAGAAGTTTGACATGTCCGAGATTCTCTATAAAAACGTCTCAGGTATAGTGAGAGCATACAACCACCTGTTTCGATTGTTCCGCTAAAGCAATGAAGATAGGAAGGGTTTACCAATCTCACCATTCCTCTTCAACTTTGCCATCAATGACATTCTGGAAACAGCTGGGATGGAAGGACGTAATAGTGGTGCGGATCTGTTACTTTGAAAAACACTTCTCGACCTTGAATATGTGGGTGATATTGTCGTACTGTGCGCTGATATTCAAGCTATCCAAATCCCACTTGATCACTTGAAAATCGGTGTCCAAAAGTTTAATGTATATGATTTGCACCTTCTGAGTGCAAAGTACTTTTATAAGACTGTCAGGAGCATGTACTTGGACGTATTGTCAGTAATGAGCAGTTGAAAGTATTCGAGAAGTTCGAAGAATTGGTGATAGTCAGTGTCAACACCATATTAATAATGCTGTGTTCGACAATGTGCACTCGGAAACAGTGGTGATAATTCAATTGGTGTAACCATTTTGGAACACTGGCTTCGGTGGGTTGGACATGTGTGGCGAACACTGACCCAATGAATTCCACATGTTCCATTATTTGTTGATACTGTAAGTGGTTGGTAAAAGCAGAGGTGTAGTCAGTTTATGACACACTACTGTGACTGGAATCTATTGGTCCGTGTTGACACTGTTTTTGGGAAGTAGATATTAAGTAACTCAACGGCTTACGTTGTTATCATACATGGCTCAGAGTGGAAGCCACAGTGGTAGTGTTGCTGTGATTTTTTTACATTCTTCATGAAAGTGAGAGGGTCTTTAACCGTAAGAATTCTTTCGGTTATGTTTTTCCTGACTGAATTGTTTCTCTTATTATTTACTAACCTAGTCCACTTATTTTTATTAATTAATTGCCTTTTTCTAATCATGCTCACCTTTCTTCCTCTATCTCTTCATGACCTCATTTCTTTACTCTGCGTTGAATATTTATTTTGACGTTCCTTTGGACTTATATTTCTGTATTATTAAATTAATTGGTAAAAACATTTGCGAACATCGCTATAATTGTCTTCTTGAGTTTTAAAACTTCGTCACTACTGTACCGTTGCTTTTTTTACTTTTTCAACTTTCCTTAACAGATGTTGGAAGTTCGCATATTAAACCAAATAATTCCCCCAATCATTGTACGGATGATGAAGTTTCACATAAGAATTCATCTCCACTCTCCAGTTGTTACGCTGATGACGACGTGATCATCGTTGACTCACCGGGTTCTCCAAATGTTATCAAACCGCCATCAAACTCTATCCAGTCTTCATTTGGTTGTTTAAAGAATTCGACATCTGCAAATAAAGATCAAGAAACGAGGTGTGTTGACAGAAATAATGAAGATCAGGAAGAGGAGTGTATTGATCGAAATAATGAGGATTGTGGTGATATTCAGAACGATAAGAAATGTAGGATAATTGGTCGTTTAGAGTGTCTTATGACAGTGAGTGTTTTTCGCATCTCTGTTTCATTTTGTCCTAAATTTCTTTATTGATCTTTGCTTTTTTGTAGGTCGTACTGTTTTTTCAGGTTTTGTGCAGGACGGAATTTCAAGATTATAATCATTTTGATAAGAACACTAATTATACATCAACGCGTAGTCATTTGTACAATCATAGTGCGAAATTCTATTTTCATTATTCGTTACTTTTTCTTGTTTATCAGCTTTTATTTATTTATTTATTTATTTATTTATTTATTTATTTATTTATTTCAACACATAGATAATGGTACAAAGAGGCACCAAATACATATGCGCCACACAAATCTCATCCGATATGTGTGAGGGCTGTGATACTGCCCGGGTGCCCAAACCGAAGCAGGTGGTTTTCTTAGGGGGCCACACCCCGAGCCTTCAACCCAAAGGTCTGATCCACAAGGCAGTGGAGCATCGTAAGGAGATGCAGTCCCATGGAAGCCGGTGACCAACAATTGGTTCATTCGCCATTTGTTCCCGCAGGATACTGGAGCCCATGTGCACCATTGATTTGGAATCCGGTTAAAGCGCCGGACATTCGCTTTTCGTCCTCTCATTTTCGTAAACAACACCCCCGCCACGAGAAGGCAGTGAGTAGGACTTCCCTGGCAGAGGCTATATACGCGTGGCCGTGTGAGAGTATTTCGAGAGGGTGAGCGGACTCTCCCCACTCTCGGCCGTACCAGGGCATTTGGGGGCCTTGTGTAACCATTTTACTAAGTACCAGTTAATGTCATCTGATTTCAACTACACATATTTTTATGCAAATGGTAATGATGATTGGTTTGTAGCCAGCTATGTTCACACTGAAGAAGTAGCGAAGTGTTAACTTAGAAACGAATGGTTGAAAATCTAGTGCTTCAAACATTAAGCTAGTGTCCATTGGCTACCGTAATTCTTTTAACTTTTCATTTATTCCAAAATAACCGAAACCCATTCACATCCATAACTTTTCAACCAGTCATTTGGTTTTTTGGAACTACACGTAAATGCTTTTTTTAATATTCTATATTGTTTTTATTTATTTGAATACATAAATATTGGTACAAGAGGGCATCAAATATGCATACGCCACACAAGTCACTTGGTTTTGTGTGGGCTATGGTACTGTCCGGGTGCCTAAAGGTCTGATCCACAAGGCAGTGGAGCAACGTCAGGAGTTGTATTCCCATGGTAGACAGTGACCAATAATTGGTCCATACACCATTTGTTCCCTCAGGGTACTGGAGCCCATGTGCACCATTGGTTTGGAATCAGGGTTTTCCAACTCCCCTAGATGGACCCTCCGTGTCCACCAACCCGATTAAAGTAACGGACATTCGCTTTTCATCCACTCAATTTCGTAAACAGTAATGCCACGAGAAGGCAGTACGTAGGACTTTCCTGGCAGTTGTTGTATGCACGTGGCTATGTTAGAGGATTTCGAGAGGGAATCGTAAAGTACTTAAACGCACTAACCGCTACATTTACCTCGGAAATTCCATCAACCCTAGTGGGTTAATGTTTGACAGATTCTCGGGATGAATTCAGAAAGATAACTTGGGTCACTTGTAGGGTAGGTGAGATGTCCATTGGCCTTTTAAGGTCGTGAGCGTGCTTCACAACAGTGTTTTACCGTATTTTCGAAAAGCATGACTTATTAAAACAGAAAACATTCGTAGGTTGTTGGTTTTCGCTAATAGGTATTAACAAGGCATCGTTCACAACACTAGTGTGAAATGTTGAGGTTAAATATATGGTACTAGGCAGAGATGCCAAGATAATTGATGAGACTGTAAGTTCTCACTGACTGAAGTGGTCGGGGCATTTGTTACGTGTCTGCTACTACCACCTACTTCGACTCCCAATGATGATTGAAATTGAAGTAGGTTCATAAAAAGCTAGAAAGTCCCAAAATAAATGTGACATCAGTCCATGGAATCACTAACTGTTGGATCGAGCTGTATTGTTGAATACAGACTACTTTGTCGGGGTCCGCGCGAATATCACCACTAATCTTTGTAGGCGTGATCAGAATCGGTCACAGTAGTGTAGGTGTATTCACTGTTTTCCTTACGAAAGGTCTTGAGCTGCAACATTCTGTCCACTTTTTATTCCCCGGATTCATCCTTTTCAAATGATTTATGAACGTCCATGATATATCATTTGTCGATCAGATATCGAGCTATTCATTGTTCAAGGCTATAGGACCTTTAAGTCTTGAATTACTTGGAATGTGCTTAGAAATATGAACATTTACTGAACTCTCTGTTCCTCCTGTGTATGTACTTTGGCATGTATGTGTAAATTGGCTAAAGCAGTTAAAGGTATTGAAAAAGAGGATTTATTGATTTTTGTTTGTTTTGAGGAGTAGTTTGTTTCGCATAGAGTGATAAACCTTGCCTCCGGATCAGCAATATTGAACCCAGCATCTGTTCTATGTTTAATTTATGGAATACTCTCTTTTCCTCTAAAGTTGAGGTGTAGGAAGCAAGTTTTTTCAACTGAATTATACCTGACTCTGTCCTCCGTTTGAGCGTACTTATCGGTGAATTTCTGTGAATATACATTTTGGCGTGAAAACGTTTTAGTAAATGCAAGTTCTTCCAGGCTTCTCTTGGAATAGAGTTTACGAGTACAGTCAAGATTTCGTACGACCCCGTTTTTATAACTTAATGGATAGTGTTGTGGCTAATTTCCTCTATATCTGACTCCAATAAATGATATCTCGTTAACTGAGTATTTTAGGTAGGCTAAATCTCCTAGTAGAATTATAGATTTACTCGAGATTATTCAGAAACCTGAACACCAGTTGTAGAGATATTTTTATTGTTAAATATAAATAAAATCCGCAAGCGTACAGCGAGCAAGCACACTATGAAACCAAGAGAGTGTGTATTTATATTAAGAATCCATATATATTTTTGAGTGTCAATCAAGTGTGGATAAATTATTGATTATCTGTATGTTACAACCAATAGGAGAATAGATTGAGGTTGATGTGCAGACACGCGCTCAATGATAAAAGCACAGAAATTAACATAGTGAATTAAGTGTCTGAATTACAGTGAGTAGACAAATAATACAATAGTTAAATGGGCTTGCTACATAAGCTCCCATCCACAACATTGATGTTTTTATTTACAAAATCAATATTTTTATTCACATCCATGTTCGACAAAGAGACAAAAACGGAATTGTTTTAAAATAAATGTACAAGTCGATATGATGAGTAAGCGTTAAATTGTAATAACAGCTTGTGTGTTGAAACCTTTCATATCATGTATATATGAATGTATATTTAACATGAACGAATTGGATAAAGTTAAAATGTAAGGGTAATGATGATCCGTGGGGTCAATAAAAAATAGTAATGAAAATAAAGAATGATTTTTGTGTTATAAGAGCAATCTCAGGAGTTGGTCTAGATAAATATGGTTGTTGCTACATATCTATCTGGTCAGTGTTCTCTTCTTCCTGATCTTGTTGTAGTTTCTGCTGCTGCTGAACTTTGATGTGAAGTATTGTTTGTTGCAGGTAGTTTGTATGGTGGTTGCTCTGCTGTGGGTTTAGACAGTTTTACAGTTGTCTGTTTTTCAGTGTTCTCTAAAAACGCTGGTTTTACTCTGTTGATGCTAACAATATCATGTTTACCTGCTCTTCCCACTGTAGCCGTTTAACTGTCCTTTTGGATGATTTTAAAAGGACCATCGTAAGGAGTCTGTAACGGCTGTCGTACTCCATCATTTCTGACGAATACATGTGAGCATTTGTCTAGTTCATCGGGTACGAATGATTTCACCTTTTGGGTTCGTGGTTTAACGGACCTAATGGATCCCATCTAGTGTTTTAATTGTTGTACGTAGTTGGTTATATCTGCTGGAATATCTGTTGCACGGTCGAAAAACCCACCAGGCAAACGTAACGTTGTTCCATAAACCAACTCAGCAGTACAACAACCAAGGTCTTGTTTGATGGTTAAGCGAATGCCTAATCGTATCAAAGGAAGCTTGACATCCTATTTGTAATCTCCTCCTGCAGCCGTCAAAGAGGCTTTTAACTGTCTGTGGAACCTTTCTATCATTCCATTAGCAGTCGGATGATAAGCAGTGGTTCTAGTTCTCTTTATACAGAAAGTATCTGTAAGTTGCTGAAATAGTTTACTTTCAAGCTGAGTCCCACGGTCGGTCGTAATTGTTGTAGGGACACCGAAGTTTGTAATCCAGTGTTTCACCAGTTTCTTCACCACTGTTGATGCTGACGTGTCTTTTAATGGATCAGCTATGGGCCATCTCGTAAATCTATCTATATATGTTAGCATATGCGTGTAACCATTAGAAATTGGTAACGTTCCAACGATTTCGATATGAATATGGTCGAACCTAGCGCTAGCGGCGGGAAAAATTCCTGTAGGAGATATGATATGTCTATTTACCTTTGACTTCTGGGATTGGATACATTCCCGTGACCATTTTCGTACATCTTTGTTTATGTTTGGCCATACAAACTTACCTGTGATAAGCTTTACAGTGGCTTTTATACCTGGATGTTTCGTCTCATATCATTAGGTACAAAGAGGCGCGTTTTACCTGTTGAGATATCACAGGTTAAGGTGTCCTTGTTGTTTATGGGGATGCTTTGGAATAATAATTTCATTTCTTTAGATTGCAAAAGCTTTTTTAGCTCCTTATCGAACTTTTGATGATTTGCCATGTCTTTATAGTTTATATCAGGGATCGAGAAGGTATTGATATTTAACCTAGATTAGTGCATCTGCTGCATCATTTCAATTGCCTTTTCTATAGCGTATATCAGCTGCAAATTGCGAAATGAATTCTAGTTGACGAATTTCGCGCGGACTGTATTTATCGTGATTGTACATCAAGGACTTAGAGGTTTGTGATCAGTATATATCGTAAAAGAATTGCCTTCTAACATATACCGAAAGTGCTTGATGGCTAAGTAGATAGCCAACAGTTCTCTACCGAATGTGCTATATTTTGTTTGCGTTGCGTTTGGCTTTTTTGAGAAAAACGCAAGGGCTTGCCATTGTCGATTGACACGTCACTGAAGTACAGCACCTACTGCTACATTAGAAGCGTCGGTCATTACTACTAAAGGTGCATCAACCTTTCGTCGTGCAAGTAATGCCTCGGTGCTTAAAGCGCTTTTCAACTATCAAAATGCTCGTATTGCTTGCGGTGTCATTGCTAATGATTTAGTTCGTCCCCTTAATAAATCAGTTAGCGGTTTTGCTATGTCTGCACATTTCGGGATAAAACGTCTGTAAAAGTTGATCATCCCAAGGAAACGTAGTTTCTTAAATGAATGAGGTAAAGGATAATTTTTGATAGCTTGTGTTTCCTCAGGAACTGGTTTGATGCTTTGATTGTCAAGTACGTGACCTAAAAAGGTGAGGGATTGTTTTTCGAACTCACATTTGTCAGGGTTGACTGCTAACCCATACTCGTTTAGCTTCTCAAAAAGCATTTTCAGGTGAGTTAGATGTTCATTTTCCTCTTTGCTTGCTATAAGTAGGTCATATATGTAAGCATGTACAAACGGTAAGCCACGAACCACTTGGTCGATAAAACGCTGGAAACTGTGTAGTATTCCTTAATTCGAAAGGCATGCGAACAAATTCGTATAGTCCAAATGGGGTAGTAATGGCTGTTTTAGGAACATCGTCCGGATGAATTGGAATGTGATAGTAAGCACGGACGAGATCAACTTTTGAAAAAATAGACACATCATATAGACTATGAGTAAAGTCGTGTAAATGTGGAAGAGGATATCTGTCTGGTATGGTCCGGCTGTTGAGAGCTTTATAGTCACCGCAAGGTCTAACTTCGAAAGAGTTTTTCTTGGGTACCATATGGAGCGGTGATGCCCGCGGACTATCGGAGGGGCGTATGATACCCACGTCTATCATTTTGTTGAATTCGTTCTTTACGATAGCCAGACGAGAGGGGTCAAGGCGTCTTGGACGTGCGAACACTGGTGGACCCTCTGTCTTTATGTGATGTACAACGGTATGTGTCGGTTTGTCATGTTTGAAACTCGGTCGTAATAAGTCTGGAAACTGATCAACTAAATTGACATACTTGTCGTCCTCGTGATGAGGTTTGACTAATAAATGTATGGAAGTCTCATTTGCCGTACGTCTTGATGTCAGACCTGTTTGCTGCTTGTAGTTTTAGTTTGGGGTCAGGTGTGTTTTTCTCGAGTGTAGTGGGTGGTACTACGCTAACCTCTGCCCCTGTGTCGACTAAAATCTGTGTGCCGGTTCTTTTGTCTGTAACATACAACAGACGGCTGTCTTGAGAGTTGTGGTCAGTGACTGCAATCGTCACTAACCGGCGGTCTTGACGTTCCTTTTTCTGTGTGCTCGCGAAGTTACAAGGCGGAGTACATATTTTAGCTTGTTTACCGTACGTTCTATGGTACCAACAAATGTTGTGTCTAGTAGTGCTTGGACTACGATGTCTACCGCTTCTGGATGTTCCTCTACACTTACTGTGGGGAGTATTCAATAATTGGAGCTGGGCTATCTGTTTAGTGAGGGCATCAACTGTCCGTCGTAGCTCGGCGATCTCGTCAGTTGATCTTGATTGTATGTGAGATACAGAGTGACTCTTAGACCGCTCGTAAATTCTGTCGGCTAGATCTGCTAGCCTATCAAAATCGACATCTTCTCCAATTGCAAGTATCTGTTGGATGTTTTGTGGGAGACATCTGAGTCACAATTGATATAATAGACGTTTGTCTACTGTACGATTTGCTAATAAATTTGTCATCTGGCGTTTTAATTGTGATGGTGTACTGTCACCTAGCTCCACATTAGCTAAAAGTTGATCGGTTGTCTGCTGGTCGGTGAGAGATGTAACACGAATGACCTGTCTTTTTAGACAATCGTATGGTGAGTCGGGATCCGGCTTAAAAATGATGTCAGGCACTTGTTCAATAACGTCGTCCGGTAGCAATGAGTTTGCGTTACTAAATTTCGTGCTCTGATTTGTGATTCTGTTCGCAACAAAAAAGCTTTTTAAGCGTGCAAACTAGAGTTCGGCCTTTCGCGGATTAAAGTCAGGTAAAGGTACAGAGATGGCACCCATGGACATAGATTTAGATGAAAAGCTTAGTGAATTATCAGGTGCCATGATACGAAGAAGCCATAGTTATAATAAGCTGAGGATTGCAATATACAATATGAAGAAATCAAAAATAACGAAAATAAATATATAAGACTCACCGAAAAGAAAATCTGTCACTGTGGGTTTAAATATGCGAATATACAGCAATAAATCCAAAGGAACAATGTTATGGATGAATTTATTATGATTGTCAATGAATTGTTAATAATTGTAATAGTGATTCCAATGTAATGTTCTTTATGATACGCTTGGATAGTATGCAGCAGAAATGGTGCGTGTTCTAAAAGCAGTTCATCAAATGTTGAGGCTAATTTCCTCTATATCTGACTCCAATAAATGATATCTCGTTAACTGAGTATTTTAGGTAGGCTAAATCTCCTAGTAGAATTATAGATTTACTCGAGATTATTCAGAAACCTGAACACCAGTTGTAGAGATATTTTTATTGTTAAATATAAATAAAATCCGCAAGCGTACAGCGAGCAAGCACACTATGAAACCAAGAGAGTGTGTATTTATATTAAGAATCCATATATATTTTTGAGTGTCAATCAAGTGTGGATAAATTATTGATTATCTGTATGTTACAACCAATAGGAGAATAGATTAAGGTTGATGTGCAGACACGCGCTCAATCATACACACACAGAAATTAACATAGTGAGTTAAGTGTCTGAATTGCAGTGAGTAGATAAATAATACAGTAGTTGAATGGGCTTGCTACAATAGAAACTGTTATAGTTTTGATATAAACTTTGCTTCATATGTTTTTGCGTTAGATATGCCTTTGTAGTTGACCAACTGGACTTAGTATAGTTCCAAGATCAAGGAATTGAGATTTTACATCCTGTTCATGTTTTATAGTAAACTCTATTTCACTGTTTTATTGAATAAATTGAATAGGTATGTAGAATACTTCAGTGTTACAGACATGAAATATATCATCCACATATCTTCAGTATAGTGTATTTGTTTTTATCGTATGGTTTGACTTTGTCTATCCCGTGTTCCCCATAAAGATATTCTATATTTGACCTAGGGTGTTAGCGATTCCATCAATTTGTCGATACATCACATTATTAAGCTAGAATTTTGTATCCTTAGTAGAAATGAACAGAAACTGTTTGAATTCTGTACTGGGGAAGGAAGGAGATCAAGATATCGATGTATAATATCAGCACTTTTTTGCAAATGGATTATCGTAAAGAGTGAACGAAAATCAAGTGATACCGTAAGTTTATTGAAGATGCCTCAAGCTTTCAGTCTTTTGTGGAAGTTCGAAACCATCTTGTAGACTTTAGGATGCTTGTTTCTTATGAATTGGTTGTGAGCATTTCGATAACAAAGGGCTAGTTTTGGGAAACCACGAAATAAAATAAATTCATATTATTCTACTTCAATTGTTTTTCTGGTTCCACTCAAATTCGAAGCTAGCCAAAATATAATCAGAAAAGACTGCATTTGGTTTGTTGGTGGGTTAAAAATAGGCCGGTGTATACTTACAATTTGATAATGTTTTGGATCCAATTGTGCTGCCGGAAACAGTACGGGATAAATCGAGTTGTTCGCTGCCATTATCATTTTTTCCAACCTTGCTTGCCACACTTATTTTACAGTCCTTTGAACTACAAATGAGGTTGTACTTGTACTAAACTCAAGACGACCAACTTAACTTGTTCCATCCATTATTTCTTCTGTTTTACAAAACTAGCGTCTCTCTCAAGCTATTCGAGAATTGGAAGAAAAAGAACTTGATTTTGATGAATTGGATTCGTCCAATTCACCGTACCTTAAACTAGATGTTTTAAAACGTCAATATTTGAAAGTATGGCGTCGACATTGTGAACTACGTAATGTTGCTCGAAAATCTGGACGGATATTACGTCAAAGATTTGTATATAATGGTATGTCAGTTTAGTTTTCGTTCTGTAAATTAAGTGTTTGTACTTCGATTCATTGTATAAACTTCGCCCAATAGTGTTTATCTTTCACTAATATTAGTACGATTTAATTGGTGATCGTTTAGCCACGTTAAACGGGTTTAATGTACTCTGTTTATCTTAAAGAGCTTACAGAAATCAACAAATGTGGCTCGATTCATTGCCACTTCCGTAAAGATGAATCATTCGCTTCATATGATATACCATTTTGGACGCAGTCTGATAATGGCATCGATCGTTTTAATTATTATCCTCCAGTCCATTGATTTCAGTCGATTGTTGATTAGGTTCGCATCATGTAAAGCCGTAGATATACCGCTAGGGTAAATCACACCTTGACAATAAAATCCAGAATATCCATTTTTACATAGTATGAAGGTTAAATAATAATCAACGAGCTAACTCGTTTATTTCCCAAAGTAGAGTTTTTTATCACTCTGAAATATGGCGATTATAATAATTACCAGGGCATAATATACTTCAGGACTTTAGTATCCTGTATATTGTAGTATACTAGTTTGTTTCTTGTATGTTTTAGAGTTTGTATAACACTATAGAAGTTAGTATTCTAGACTCAACTGGTACCAGACATGTCGTAACAACACTATAGAGCATGACATAAATGTTTGTCATCCCAAATTGTCATCTACACCGGTTGAGTCTAGAATACTAATTCCTATTGTATTATGAAGACTTCAAAAAATGCGAGAAACTGACGTTCACTACAAAACAAGAATGTTGAAGTATTATTATTATTATTATTTTAAAACAAGAAAAACCAAAAACGAGTATCTGTTCGTTGTAGAAAAAATGACACTTGAAAAATGTATCGTTACATACATCGCAGTAATTAAGTCAGGAATTCACGTACTCGGGTTTTAACATAGTGTTCACAAGAGATGAGGAAGGAGTTGAACTGTATATCTCATAATTTGGTTTGAAATATCTTGGGTTATTTTGTTGTTGATATCATTGCTGAAATCTGATCAGTCTTGATTGACATATGTGAATCCTGTGCAGATTACCTCAATATAGTCATTATCACACAAGTTAGTACAAAATAGATGGAATGTAGTTAGCAGTAGAACTAAAGACAGGTGTTTCGTCCTGCATTGATCATCAACTCTGGGATGCGAGCACATCCGGCTGACGAGTCCCAAATATAACGAAGCGTGCTTCCTAGATTCTATTGCTAGCCACATTCCATCTATTTTATATTAACTTGTATACTTAAAATAATTGAAAGTTATATACCTTAACCACTAAATCACCACTCTCCAAGAATTAATTTTACCATATTATTGTTGATCTCATACAGTACAATTCCATGGGTGGTGGTAGTCTTTTAAAAATTGTGACAGTGATTTGGTGAAAATATTGACTTCACTAGATGATACTGTCTCAATTTCTACCTATCACTATATTGTAATATTACTATTTTCCATTAAACCGTCTCGTTTGTTAATGATAAACAAATATACAGTAGAATTTCATTCACTATCAATGAAGTTTGATTAATTTGCATGGAATAAATACACTGTTAATTATTTAATAATTTCTATTTTTTATTCTACAGGAAGCCAATATCCAAAAGTAAACGAAAAAATTGAAGAGATCATTAATCAGAAAAGACTGTTTCCTGATTGGACTGATATTTATCGAATAGTTACTTCGGTGAATAAGGAAGAACAATTGAATTTGACGTAAGTACCATTGTTCATAGGTGTACAGTGTGATTTTTATTATTAATATCAAGTTTGGCGATTTTTGTGTGCAAATCTTTATTTTTAGTTACTTCCATCAAGAATCAGCATCAACTTGATGATTATTAAGAACCTTACATAAAAATGCGCCTTAATGACTAATGATAACAGCTAGCGCTACCTGACGATCACTTAGGTTAAGAATTGGTTAACTCATAATTCCTAATTTCATGTTCTGTAGTTAGAATTTCGAATTCGCACTGTTAACACGATGCACTGAAGCTACCGTGTTATATATAATACGCTAGTTTACGTATTCATTGTCAGTTAAGTAGTACTTTAAGATCATCTTTGTCCTACTTAACAAGCACACCTTACTATTTCACTCCCGACTTAGCTAACCGGATACGTTATTTCCATCGCAAAGTGAGATGGTTTGGATTGGTGTTTAAGGCTTTTCGCTTCCTCTCCATTGACTTGGATTTGAACAAACGTATAGTATCACAATTCGTCATACTAAAAGCAGACTCACTCAAAGCTGAGTATATAAACGTGTGTTTAGTAGATAATTTGTTTTCATTCATTCATATCGAAACGAATCACTATTGAATACATTAACTCGATAATTTTTTACGGACATTTCGGTTTCATTGAATAAAATACTTGTTGACGTGATGATTATATTACTAGTTAGACATGAAAATGGCTTGATAATCGTTCATTTTATGTAACTAATTTTATTAAGCAAGGTAATGCGTAATAGTCGTGATCGTATTGATGATTTTTTAAAGAGCGTTTACAAGTACCGTTGTAAAATAAACTCTACATAGATGACATTAAATACTGAATATAGTATTGCCATATATGAATATGATGGAATCAAACAGTTATTAGTTATTTTGATCTGACTTTTATAGATTTCATTCATACTCAGAAGTTAAATCTTCAAACAAAAGCTGTATATTTGCCTGAAAGAGTCTTTAGTCAACACAGTTTTGCATACTAAGCTTTATAATACATTCGATATATACGAACCAGGTATAACATCTAGTTGTGTAGATAAAATTAGCTGAAATGTTTTAATAAACGTATTATTAAGTGATTAGTAAGTGACCGCGTAAATCATATCCTTTTTGAAAATGTTTTACGATGACTCAGGTAGTATTTTACCAAGGAGATGTACGTCTTACAACTATTCTTTCAAAGTGATAATATTCTATGGTTTACATCACGAACTGATGCTCGTTAAAAAATCTCTAAAATAACCAGTAAATGCTCGACAACTCTATTCTCCTAGGGTAAGGCTCTTCATCATTTCTCATCCGTAAGTCGTACCCTGTGACCTTCTGGTCTCGCAGCAGACACTGAACTCTTAGACTACTAAGTGGAGATCTAATGGTTTACATATCTAGCTTTGAGCGTTTCGTGATATTGAGAAGTCATGTGCTTGGTCACCGGAGGTGGGGTTGTGGGTAAGCATGGCTGAGTGCCATATTGAATTATACATCTGGTAATCGCTCCTTGGTTATTAATAGTCTTATATCATTCCTTAAGTAAACTATGAATTTCAACTATCTGCAAGAATCACTTACAATTAAAAAGGGACATTTCTCGTAAGGTAAATATGGGTGCATTAAATCATTCTTACTTTTATTGTAATTTATGATCATATCACTACTTTTTTTATCGTCATATGTTTTAGGGGATCAACTGTCAAATCTTTAGCGCGTGAAATCTTTATTGATGTTGGCCATTCATTAAAACAACGACGTCAAGATGATTTAAGACACGATTTCGGATGTCATCTGACAGATGATTTATGGTATGCTTTTTTGATGCTTTAAGTTTCCATTTATAAATCTGAATTATTTCAACTCTTATACCTCATGTGCTGAAGTTTTGTCCAAAGATTTAAGCATACATAATTTTTTTTCTGGTAAGTCTGTAGTTGTGCTTTTCAATATCAAAACAGCCTTCGATCTGTTAAACAGGACTGTTCTATGGGATAGTCTTTTGAATAAGTGTGATTTCACTTCCAGCTCACACCGTAGGAACCTATGACGGGACTCTTTGTGTTTACTTAAAGTGTGTATATCTATGCAGTTGTATGGAGACTGTCGGTGTCATGAGTAATGAGATAAATCTACGTATAGTGAAAATCAGATCGGCGTATTCCAATCTAGGTCATCCTTAGCGCTGTCATGACGTTAGTTTAACTGTGAACGGTCGGTTCTACAATGCGTCGATGGAGACAGCTTTGCTCTATAATTGTGTAACCTTGGCTTTTATGAGTTGAGGATGTTAAGAGACTACCTCCGTCCGATTACCATTGTCTCTGAAAGATCGCTAACCTTCAGTGGTAGCATCGTGTTATTAATGGTTTGTTCTGGGATAGCGATGATAATTCAGTTGGTGCCACCAACTTTAAAAACGTGCTTCGACGGGTTGTGTGTATGTGACGAATTCCATCCCAGAGACTTCAACATTATGCTTTAATTATCGATGTTTGGTGTGGTTGGTAGATGCGGAGATGTGGTTGGTGTGTCGGAATATGCTGTTGTTGAAAGAAAACTGTATTGGACTGATATCTGTCAGTCCACCACGACTTTCTTTTGGGGTTCTAGGCATCGTGGAGTTCACTGGCGTAACACTATCAGATATGGGTGTTTAATAAAACGACATTTACTCAGTTTTTGTGTTATTCTCAAGAAACTTGTCAATATATTTGTACGCTTAATTAGTTTTCTCTGATGTGTGGCATATAATAATGGCAATCCAATCTAGATTTAACTTTTATTTTTTATGAAGTAACCAGGGCGAAGAAACAAGAGAAACTTGTTGTTGTCATATAACTTTTTCTTATTTATCGTCACTTTTCTTCTTTATGTAACTTACTAAATTAATCATTATTTTGCTCTAATGTATATTGTTGTCACAAGCAGTGCTACGCTCAACCCCCTCCAACTGACTACTTGAGCGAGAACACAAGAGTTAGTGCGAAAATGTTATTTATTTATTTATTTCAACACATAGATAATGGTACAAAGAGGCACCAAATACATATGCGCCACACAAATCTCATTCAATATGTGTGATGGCTGTGATACTGCCCGGGTGCCCAAACCGAAGCAGGTGGTTTTCTTAGGGGACCACACCCCGAGCCTTTGACCTGAAAGTCTGATCCACAAGGCAGTGGAGCATCGTGAGGAGATGCAGTCCCATGGAAGCCGGTGACCAACAATTGGTTCATTCGCCATTTGTTCCCGCAGGATACTGGAGCCCATGTGCACCATTGATTTGGAATCCGGTTAAAGCGCCGGACATTCGCTTTTCGTCCTCTCATTTTCGTAAACAACACCCCCGCCACGAGAAGGCAGTGAGTAGGACTTCCCTGGCAGAGGCTATATACGCGTGGTCGTGTGAGAGTATTTCGAGAGGGAGAGCGGACTCTCCCCACTCTCGGCCGTACCAGGGCATTTGGGGGCAAGTGCGAAAGTGTATTGTACTACAAAATAAAATGCACAAATACTCATTATATATATATATATATATACCACTCTAACTCTTAGGAAATTGGTTCATTTTTTAGCCAATTAAAGGCACTTGTTCTTTAGGTCACTTCTAGTTGCCATCGATCAACCTTCTCATTACTCTACTTCTGATTGACTCTCCATATATATTATTTGTGTTTTCTTATTCTTTGTTTTATAAACTAAGTGATGATGATGATCCAACTTATTCTAGTCGAGATTTACGAAGAAAACTAACTGAAAATAAACGTATTGGTGATAACAATCTAAACAAGGTTGGTTAATAAATTTCGTTAAAAAATTTAAAGAACCCCTACACATAAATTAATTTATCCATGTTTAAGATACATAATGATATTTTAGCAATTTGAATAAATAACATTTCTAATTCATAGAATAAATAGTATCAACAAAGAACTTGATATATAGGCTTCTTTAAATGCTAGTCTTAGTAATGTATTTACTAGGACTAATTGAGTTTCTTCATAAAATTGAAGACTGTAGGTAGCTTGATTAAGTATCGGTCTGATGAGTTGGTAGGTATATTCATTGTTTATTTTCTTATAGATCCAGTTTTAACATTATACTTCTCTATTCCATGAATTCATTCTTTCATATCGAATTATATTATGTATACCTAATCCCGTTCACTAGCACTATTAATACTATTGTAGTGAACGTGAACTCAAGTGCGGATAACCAATTTACTTTTCAATGCAAAATTACAGAGGTTTTTTGTAAAACATGAAAAACCATACATTAAATACTTCATTTGAAAATCTTCCACCAATTGTCTCAAACTCCATCGTTCGTTCATTGCTATTATAATTGCTTTCTGTTTACATCCCTGTTCTCTTCATTTCGATCTTTTCAACCTTCTGCTGCCAGGTACTCCACTTCTGATTGATGTTACATACGACTTATATCTGTCGATATAACTGGCGTGCACCACACTCCCCTCTTTGAACGGTCGCTCTTGCGATTGTTCTACATTTTCTTTGTTACGATCTGTGCCACGCTTCCCGTCAAAATATCGAGTCTGTCGGCGCGTTGACCTTCGTAGTGATGTCGACCTGTCGAGCCATCTAAGTCCGATGTCTACCCAGCATCCGGGACGTCTAACGCCTATGATCCAGTGACCCACTGAGCCATCTACATCCGATGTCCACCCAGCAGCCGCACGTCCCAATATTACTACTACTGCTACACCATTGATTTTGTTAATTACATTTTTCTGTGATGATATGCCATAACAACTTGAAACATAGGATACACGTATCGGGTACTCTACATTGCTTCATATCTAACTAACAAAATGTATGGAAACTTGAAAGCTTTGACGAATTATCATTACTATATTGTACACCCTTTAGATACAGTTTGTTCAGTAGGAAGAATCATTGGTTAATGATTGTAATTGACCATAAGTTCATAATGTTACTTAACTAAAACAAATACTTGTTATCTGTTTTATTCTTTTTATTGATTATGTTCTCTACGTTTATACGTCACTAGGAAAAAACTTGTTCTTTGAAGTGTGTATATTTTCTTGCACTTTCTTATACTTAAAATAGTATCAAGGTTAACGACGGGTTTTTAAAAAAATATTACTTTTCATCAAACTTATTCAGTGTTTTATCAGTAATACTTAGAATGATCAATAAAGATACTTTTCATAATCCTCAGTACATTATTTACTCTTTTAGGTATTCAAACATTATATTGATCGTCAGCATACTATTCAAACTTTTCAACAAATTATACAAGAACCTGAAGATAACAATAAAGTTGAGCATGATGTTAATCGTCAGTCTGATATGATGAATTCTAGTGGGAAAGTTTCCGTTCCTAATCCGGTTTGTTTTGCAACGAGCACTCAACAGTGTGAAAATGATAAACTTCCTAGTTCACCAGCAACATCTGATGAAGTGTTAACTTTAAGTTCAGATTCCGATGAAAATGAGGAGACGAAACCTCATGATATTGCTTCAGGTTTCGTAAGTTCACCAGTGTCAGGTCATGATGAATCCACTCCTACTAACGATGTATCACAAGAATCTTCTGTTAAAAATGATAGACGTGATGAAAAAATCAAAGATAATCTCGATGCTTCAAACACTTCTTTGTCTGTCCCCGTAACATGCTCTTCAACGACGTTACCAACAACAACAACAACAATCGATCTACTTGATGATGATATTTCATCGACAGATTGTTTTACTTCAACACCTCGAGAAAAAAGACCAAGGCTAGATCACTCATGTCATTCAACTGATCCTTCTATCACGTATAATAATCGACGTCCTTTTTCCACATCACTACTTCAAGAAACTAGACAATCTAGCCAAGTTTTAACAGTAGCCACACGATATGGTCCATATGGATGTGATACATTCAGTCAAATGGCCAGTTCACATGTTGTACACCGTTATCCTGTAACTACTATTAATAATAATAATACACTAATTACAAATAAAATACTCGAAGAATCTAGTCGAAATTTTGTTAATAATTCATATAAATGTTCATCAATAGTACATGTAAATTCTTGTTCATCTACTTTTAAACCTTTAGCAACATTGTGTAATAATAAATCTTCAAGTATTTCACATCCTACAACTACTCAATTTCATCTGCCTAATTCAGATTCTTTAAATAATACCAATGATGTTACATCATCATGTACAAATACGCCTAGAGTTTATGATCACGAAACTATTGAAATTGATTAAAAAAAATTGTGCAGATTCCCTTTCCTCTTATTTCATTTTGTACTTACAAATGTATTTATAATTGAATTTCTTTCCTTTGTGTGTATTCATAAATATTAAAGTGGATATAGAGTGGCTCGTTTACCTCGAACCATTATATTCCTCAGATGTATGATGTTTTATTTTAAACATAGTTTATTGCTTTTCTTAATTAGTAGAAAATGTTTCATCTTCAAAATAAAACCATTATTATCGACCCTAACTAGTTTCTAGACATGAAGTTGGGTTCATTGTTAAATTGCTTGATTTTAAAGTAATGATCTTAAACGTAAAAAAAGGCGAGGTTTGGGTACAACAATTCTTGTCCATCGTGACCGATTACAAAACAGTATTGTATGGTGCTTTTATTGAGTCACTAAGTGGTATGCTACAAACAAAGTCCAAATGGGTTTCAATGTATCTGGTTTTTGTGGTCATTTCTAAACAAGGTACGATTTGATACAAGTTCCCACAGTTCACATCAGCATAGAGAATGAACGTCGGAGGGGTGACACCAATTTTAGTAGAAAAAGAAACTTAAGAAATATGGAACAAAGGAACGGATGATATCTAGGGTTAAAATGGCAGTAAAATATTTAAATGAATATGGAGAATGAAAACAATTACGATCTTTTATGAAATGTCATTCAAGGTTTTTTATCACAGATCAGGGTCCAAGTCCGTGTCTATCGTGATACAACTGAGACTAACAATCGGTAACATGTACTGATGTCATCTGTTAATTTATCAAACCAGGCCTGTTTCTATCTACGCTTATGCTAACTGGTACATTTTTATACAACGTAGTCTATCTATAATTTACGATTTAATGATGTATACTTTAGGATATTCAAAACACACTTCACATTCTCTTGTTTTGTCCGGTCTCGTTGATAAACCTGTGACCTGTTGAGTGAATCGACTACTAAAAACAATTGATACCAACGCAACTAGTGTTTAGCTTTTTAGATTTCTTGAATGGAAATAAATTTAACTATGTTCCGATAATTAGCATGGTGATTTATCTGTTACAAGGTCGATTTTATGTAGAACAGTAACCCACTAGGACTTTTCAGTGTACTGACCTATAAAACCAGTAAACTTTCGACAGCAGTTTCCTTCTAGTATAGAAACTTCTATCAAATTGATTGAGGTCGGAAACGTAAACATGGTGTACTAACTCAGAGTGGTCTAAAAGTTGAATGCTCGCAGCGAAGACCCATGGTCGTGCGTTCAACCTCCGTTGAGGTCGTAGATATGCACATATGAACAGACAATTGTCGAATGCTCCCTGGTTTTTAATGATTGTTTAAGTAAGATCAATACGTGATGTAACCCACAGGAAAGATGAATGAATCGATCATATTAAAAAAATACTGTACACATAATAAACATGATTATTATGTTTTAAGCCTAGAGTATCTGGTCAGCTAACTTATCTAAACCCTGCTTATCAAGTTATAAACCTATTGCTAAATTATTGAATTCGTTCAAAAACAATCATTTTTCGGCAAATTAACTCTACAGACTTTATGCATCTAACTAGAGTTATGAAATGTAACTAAACTTAGTTACAATTATATTGGTCATTGTAGGCCTTCATACAGACACAATTTAACGTCATATTTTCAAGTGGATATAATGTCAAGCAGTTACACATCAATTTTTACTGATTGCTCTGTAAAAACTTCTAGTTATTATCTAACAACCGCTTATTCGTTCAATTAGTCATTCCTTATCTGTAAAATTCCATAATGACGTATGGTTGATACTGAACTACACTATTTCTTATCTCCATACAAATAACCTTCAAGCTTTTCTATAGGTCCTTACCCTGACCTACGATGTTTCCTGATGTACGTGTAGGTTAAATGAAATCACATCATTCTATGAAATCTCTAACATCTATAGGTTCAAGCTTTCTTATTATGGTTCGCGTATTACTCTTAATCTGCAGTTGGAGAAATCGAGAGGTTATGGAGTAAAATCAGTCAAAGTGTAGGTGCATTAATTCTTTCTGTTCTAAATCTTCACATGATAACGACTAAGTAACTGATCCCTTCAAAATCGTATAGTCAGAAAGTAAGCAGGTTTACTATAGACAAACTTTTAATCTGAGATTTAACGAGAGAAAAAAAACATGGAAACAAAAATATTTTTCCAATTTTCAGTACAAGTCATACATGTATAAAAGAAATGACAAAATAATGTTATCATAGTCACAATAGACAATTATAAAAAGGGTAAGATATAATTATGTGTAATAAATATCTGATAAATAGTGTTGATAAATCTTTAACGAAAAAGATATTTCTCTAACATACTTATAGGATATTCAGTTGTCATTGATAGGATATACGCTACGATATAACTGAATACAGTTGTTGAAGCTGTTAAACGAACCTGAAAATAAACGAATATTATTATTAGTTTTGTTATTAATGTTGTTTACATAACATGTATGATACATTCGATGGTGTGTTTCAGGTGGGTAGTTTAATTATTAATAAGATTTACTGTACCAAAGAAGTAGTATTCATAATGGATTGACTCAAATCAAGGTATGAATCTTCTTTAAATGTGTTTACCTGATCTGAAGAGTAATTTTTTCTTCACTTCAAAGCAATCATAATAATTCCTATAACAGCAAATACTGAGTAAAGTTAAACCTTGAGGACTGTTCCCTACCTGAAGTTATTGTTTGTTCACAGATACATAAAAAATATAAAGACGATTTAGTCAATTTACAATTTTGTTATGTTAGTACTAAATACTTGAATTACTGTGTCTTTGTATTTCGTTAGATGCTTCTTTTATCATGATGCATAAATTATTGTTATGTTGTGTACCTTTCTTAAGTTACTGCTAACGTAATACTAACCTATTATTCAGTTCTTCTTCCCCTAAAACCTGGTAATGTATGCTGCTGTGATGTCAGACATTTAGCCTCCATTATCACATGAGTTTTAAGTTATGGACTAAAATGTACAACAGAATTCATCTGTTTACTGTGTCATTGTTCTACTCTGTCTATAGGGCAATCGAACATGGGGAACTGAATCCTGATAAGTAGATGTGAAGATTATCTCGACCTCACCTCAGTGTTAGTTTCGATAGTCAAGGGATATCATTGATCAAATCTTAGAACACTAGGATATAAACGAAATAGTAAATTCTGAGGTATAGAGGATTCTTGTTGGGGAATCCAATAAAGTGATATCAACTAACATAATCTTTCATTAATTACAATGATACATACATGTTTAAAATACAAATACATTATTTCTAAGTTAAATTTATGCAGGATGTTGACTTTCAAGCTATTTGTGAAAAGAAGTACTAGGATGATAGTTTTAAGTTTATATCACTAACTAACCTTAGTTAAATAACCAGTGAAAACTGGGAGTACTGGTTAGTTGCTTCGTTCTAGTACGGGGCTTCTCTACAATACACTTCCACGATAGCGTTGTAGGTCGTATCCAGTATCTCTAGGGCTTCGTGGAGAGCAATAAATCTTTAGACCTTTGAGTTAGTATCGAATGGTTTACATTTCTAACACGAATCAATCTGCGATATTGCGTGATCATTTTCTAGTGTCATTAGTTTTAGTTAGTTGGTTAATTAAAGTCAGCTCATGATGTGATCTATTAAACTCAGCATTCTGCACAAACTGTATACTTACTATATACGGCCTATAAAGATTCTTTTGATACAAGGTGTGCACTTAAACAATTTAGTAAATCAATAAAAGAAGAGTTAAATTGTTTGCTAACTACATTTTTAATACTTTCATGTCTTTGTATTATGAAACGAAGGTAACACTAATGAAAATGTCACTTACCTGCACCAAACATCAGTCAAACTCTGGTACAGATACAAATCTGGAATTTTAGTTATGTTAAATTTGTGATGATCATCATCAACCTAATAATCACTAGTTCTATTACTGACCAAGATTACTGCTAAGTTATTTAACAAACTGAAGTTCACATAACATAATACATTATGCGAAAATATATTTTATAGTACCCGTGAGTAATTTTCAAGGTTAAAGCATTTTTAGCGGATCGATTCTATTACTAATAAACTTTAAGATTCTGGTTACCGGTCTGTTCAACTAATTGTCAAATCAGTTTATTTTGATATCGCATATTCTTACAAGATAATGTTGCTTTTCTTTAGTAGATATTGGTTATTGAATGGTCTAGAGCTTGAATAAAAGCACTTCTTTGATTATCAGAACTAAATAAAAGTCCCCAGCAGCCAAAATCTACTAACTCAGTGCTAATAGCTTACATTTCATCAGAAAGGTTTAAACGAAATGGATAGTGGCCAATGGCAGAATCCAGGATTTATGTTAGGTTCTACTTGTGACTCATTAGATGGTTATCTCTGTACCCCAATATTGACGTCCACATCGTGAATTAAACACGGTATATTTCTCTTCAAACACCTAAAGGATTATTCATTTAGCTGAAGAAACTGCGTTTGAGATTTTTGTCAATATAAACATTTAGGGAGCAGAGAAATCCAGCTAAGGGGTCCCATATAGGATGAAACGTCAGTCCTCGATTCCACTACCAGCCACCATCAAATTCAGCTTGAAACTGATTGTGATTTAATAGCGCTATCGAAACAATTTTTTCACGATGCTCTTACACCGAAAGAGGCCGATCAATTTTAGCCTTTAACATGAATAACAGAAATATCCAAACCCTTACACACAGTTTCCAAAAAATTGTTTTCTTCAGGCTCACTTAGTAAATAATCACCTCACCTAATGACTAACTTAATTATCATCATCAAAGAATTCAAATGATTTCACTTCAGACTTGAGTGCTGTTAGAGGTATGAGGGCGGTTATCACTTCCCGGTTGCCCACCTTACCGCCGGAGACGGATATCCGTGGGATAAGGCGAGATGTGCATTTTTAGGGTCGACTATTTCTAACCCCACCCCTCCCTGTGGGAAGGCAGCATCGTTGTCATGCTGGTTGTCTGAAGGAAACACCTTACTGCTGTCACACCTCTGTACAGTCAGCAGTATGACTTCGCCTTCGGACCTTGGGTTTGTTGCTTTTAGTCTTACCGCTCTTCAACCGATCTTTCTGACGTGGTAGGACCTTGAGGAACATTTGTTCCAGTCAGTATAGCTCGGTTGCTTCATCACGATAGGCAAGCCCGACCACCACGTCAAGGTAGCAACAACGGTCGGGTCAGTTCAGACTGCCTACTTAGTTATACTTTTTAAGTTGGATCATTTAACTTAAAAACATCAACATAATTTAAAGTAACTTTGCTAGCTTTTCCCTTATGTTTTTAATGACCTTTACGTTTAAACAATGGAAATACTACAGTATAAAATATTTAGAATACGATCATGTAGAAATTAATGCTCAATGAATAAATATCATTCAACTAATGAAGATTTTCAGTGTGAATTTCATAGTTAATAAATAATCTAGACTATTTTATGATTAAAAATTTGTTAATAATTCAGATTATTCATATTAAATCGAACAAATAAAGCCTAAATGATCAAGTGGTGATAAAGCTTTATGTGTACATCAATTATTATTCTCTGGAAAAATGTAACACTGTTAAACGGCTAGCAGATAGAAAAAAATATGTAGATCAGTGTTTAAAACATCAGAATTTCAATCTTTTGAATTTTATATTCAAATGGTCAATTCAAATTATTCATCAGTATGGGGGTTGTGGAGATTGTTAAGTTTTTGGTTGAGATCATGAATCAATTGATGTTAGACCACCGTTGGAAACCTGGAAGCACTGGACGGCCGTTTCGTCCTAGTATGGGACTCCTCAGCAGTGCGCATCCACGATCCCGCGAGCGGGATTCGAACCCAGGACCTACTGGCTTCGCGCCTGAGCACTTAACCATAATTAACATGTGCTCACTAGTGAATAGCTTCGTGAGGGAATTCTCGGAGTTCTAGTGAGAAGTCGTGACCAGTGGAGCTAATCCGTGTCGGGTAGAGACAGGTATCTACCTCAGTACAATGGAAGTTGGTCGCGCAATTTCGTGGTTTGGTTGATGTTAGACACTAACACCATTGGATGCCAGCTCAGTGGTCTAATGGTTAAGTGCTCAGGCGCGAAGCCAGTAGGTCCTGGGATCGTGGATGCGCACTGCTGAGGAGTCCCATACTAGGACGAAACGGCCGTCCAGTGCTTCCAGGTTTCCAACGGTGGTCTAACATCGATTGATTCATGATCTCAATCAAATTATTCAGTTAGTGTGATATCTTAACGAAGAATAAATAAATAGTAATGGTGAGACTTTAATTTATGGACGAACCACTCAGATTAAAGAGAACAAATATTGGATTTTGGCATGAAATTCACTCATCCATTCGGTTAAATAGAGTTTCAGCATTATAGTTGATGTTAGTTGGTTATGAAAACTTGAAATCTATTTCTTAAACTTAACCATCATCTGTAAATCATAATTCTAATTTCCAACACTGGTTTATAACTCTCATTTGGTCGTAGTTATTAGTCGGACATTCTCAAGGTCAGTCTAGCTTCGTTCAAAGGTCGTCCATAAATTATAGTCTCATGGATTATATACATTTGCATTTTTCTTATTATAAAATTTCATTTAATATATTGACTACTATTATACGATTAACTATTCTTAATTTATTTTCAATCTATTAGTTACAGTCTTTCACATATTCACAGTTACTTTCGGCTAGATCTTTTAAGATCGTTATTTTGTATTTTATGGTATATAAACTGCGTATGTCTGAAATACGTGATTTATACGATGGAAGCTGAGATTGTGTTCTGGATTCAACTGGTAGGGTTAAGTGAGAAGAGCCAACAAGGACTCAGAGTAGACTTTAGGCTGCTCATGCTGGTTAACGCATCATTGGTTTGGTACAGTGTCAAGATCGTATAAGCCAGTGTTCTGATTGGAAATCTTGTTACGTGATAATTGACAGGGCTGAAGTCATACCAGTTAGTGTGGTGGAATAATTCCAATATTATCTCATATGAAGCTACTTCTCGAGGACATTAATGCGAATAATAGTTTTTATTCTTTTGTAAATGCTTTGAACAAATAGTTTTGACCACTGATCGATGACGAAAATGAATAGTCACGATTAACCTCCACTACTTTTATAGAAATATCACCGAACTTTCGAGTTTTTCACATCAGATATCTAAATAAGGAAAACACGATCTAACCTTGAGTTTATAAAATTGCATGAAACTTCGAATATCACACTTGTCAGTACAGCTAGTTGTTTAAATGGTCCACTATTGAAATAGTTTTTATTTACTGCTTTAAACTAATTTGTAGTAAAATGGAGTAGAGAACTAAATTCTCTTGAAATAGATTACAGACTTCTTGAACTCTTCAATAATCTTGTTATTACTGAAGAGGCGAATCTGTCAGTAATCTGTTTCTCAGTTTTAAATTCATTTACTACTACTACTACTGTTCTGTGTATTACTTATGTTGACAGACATAAGTGGTATGTAACGCCGATCAGAAGTGAAAAACCTGGCAGCAGTAGGCTGGCTTGAAGAAAACAGAAACGGAATTAGAAAGGAATTGTGAATCAGAAGAATCATACAGAACGTGAAGGACGAATGATCGAAATTTACAAATAATGTATTTAATGTATGGTTCTTACATTCTACCGAAAAATCCTGTGATTATTCAATAAAATACGTTTTATTGTCATTTTTGTGTTCGCTCTCATTACACTGCTTATATTACGGACGATGCTTTTCCTCAAATTTCAATTTCAGTTAGGACAAAGTTTCCTTTCCAAATTTATTGAAATTGACTCGAATCAACAAAATGATCTACTAGATTTACCACATCCATAATTATTATAGCCATTCTTTCTCAGTAAATCCAATTAAATCACAACTATTCCATTTAGTTACACATGAGATGATATTATTATTAACATATTACATTTTATTAAAAGATAATCAGTAAAATATATAATGTTCCATTGAACCACTTCACTTACAACCTCCAATTGATCTATGATAAATGGAGTTTGTACACCATTAATGAATATAGTAACAATGATAGGATGAATTAAGTAAGCGCTATAAGTAAGACGAGCTGGTACACGAAATCCAGACCATGCAAACAGATTGTTGATAGGCTCTGATAAAAAAAGTAATCAGAAAAATCAATAAATTTGTATTTGATTGATATTTAAGCTGAAAAAAATAACTATCATCCAAATATTGATAACTAAATTCTTATCATCTAACATGTTTGATAATTTGATCCTGAATTCAATGGTTGGTTAATTATTTGTAAGTAAACTGACGTCTATCCGTCTTTTAGTTTCATTAAGTATGTGCAACATTTAAGCTTAATTCTTTTTATCATTGTGACAAACAATAAGAAATAAATTGGGATTTTCGGCATTTTAGTATCCAACGTTTTATAATAGATCTGGGAAAATGAACAGATTTCTTGCCGACGTTATAGCGACACATACATGTTTACTGTTCTTTCCGTTGTAGATTTCTAACTAAGGTTTTATTACATAGCTGGAAGTTCCCTTAGATTGGCTATAGTGGGTTTTGTTATGTTGAGTGGTATTCAGATCTTTGATACTGTGTTATAAACGTTTACTGTGCGCTATTCCAACCACCTACTTGATTGGGAAGGAGTAAGAAAGTGTATTAGCTAGTTAAATCATATTATATAAACGAAATCGATCATTAATAAAGATATGCTTTGCTCAGAAAATTAATCCGTAGTTTAAATCAATAGTGCATATCTGTCTTCATTGAAGAATTAAGACAAATCTTGGTCATTAGCGTCCATTTGTCAGCATTTCTCGCTTATCATTTGACTTTGAATTAATTTATCTGACTGACCCGGCCTATCAGGTGCCAAACACTTAAGTTTCAATTTAAGAACTGATAATTCGGATGTTTATTGCTAATAAGTAGTAAATCATAGACTAAAATTAAACAAAATACTTACTTCCCCATCCTGTTGCACATATGTAAACTGAAATGCCAATGCCTAAAGTAAACGACACACGGTGGAATGCTAAATAAGCGGCTGCTGTTCTATGACTCATTTCAGTCAATAATCCACTCAATACACCATAGGAAATAAATATTGGTAGAACGGAAAGAAATGCTGCGACTAGGTAACCAATTGTTACAATAAAAATCTGATTTCTCCGTGTATTTCTCTTCGATGATACAACAGAAAGAAAAAAATATGAAATAGAAAGAAATGGTCAAGGGGATAGTTACTGATCACGTGATCTTATGTTCAGAACTGTTCTGAATGCAATATTTTGATCAATGATCCATTTTAAAAGAATACTCCTCATCAACACGCACCAGCTATAGTGTCAGATAACGACTTCAGGACCTGTAAGTATCGCAGTTGGTTGCATTATCTAAGAACCATTGAGTTGAAGTCCGGTGTTCCACATTCCAAACTTCAGTCAATTTACAATATATATCATGATACTGTCCGATTTCATTAATAAAGAATTGTTGAATTCCAGATATGACGAACTACTTAAGTTATAGTCTCTCAGAAAATTGTTTGGAATTGAACCTAAAGATATATATAACCATACAGTCGTTGTAAATCATCAAATTATCTCTAAAACTAACAGTTTAAAGATATTTTGTTCGTTCTAAAACCCAAAGATCTTAATTTTGATCTCCTGTGTAGATCGTAGATGCAAAATGTTTAGACGTTTTAGTTTAAGACTAAATAAATGACCTATGGTTTCTCGTTTTTAGGAGAGAAAATTATTTTCATAGATAATAATTGCTTAGTTAATTAATAACTTACCATTTCAAGTCTAGGATAATCATATAATAACCAGCCAGTTAACATTCCAATCATATATGTTCCACAACGTGTATATGGTCTCACATAGATTTCTTCTTTAACTATACTGTTTATAATCAGATGATTTTATTGAAAATAAATTTAGAATGACTAATTAATGTGAATGGAATTTCAATTCATTATTATTAAAAATTCTGAACAGTTAATGAAATAATTAAAGTAACATCATCAGTAAAGAGGTTTTGTGGAGACCGTTAAATTTTCATTATCTATATCAGGGACTGATCTTAGTTATATTTCCAATAAAAAAATCAGGAGGCTTTTGAAAGCCGTTTCATTCTATTATGGAACTTTCCAGTATTGCGCATCCAGAACCTTCGATCTGGTGTGTAAACACTTAACCTCTAAACAAATGGTTCGGAATCCAATGATTTATATTTCTAATTTAAATTGACTATTTCCATTAACTGCAGTGGATAACTATCTCGAACCCATCATCTGTTCAATGCTACCTGTTTTTCAATAGTGATCTTACGAAGATCAATTCGTCATGTGAACTCTAAGATAATATTAGTTTAATGTCAAATTTAAGTCTGAAAAATCAATAATCAAATCGATTCTACAGGTAAGTATGATAATGGGATTTATTTTTTGAAGACTATATCATATTAGATAGTTCTCATTGAGGGGATTCAATTGATTAGCGACCTCATCAATAAGACAGTTAAAAAAAGAACTGCTCATTCAATTAAGAATAGTAAATTGATCAATACATGTTATTTCATTTCTTAACCACAAACCAAATAAATTTGTGTTCGATTTTTGAAGTATATTTTATAAGTAAGACATAAAAACAAATACTGCTGTACAGTAATCATAAGTATGAAAAGAAATAAATTGATTGATTATAGGTTAACTGTATAGCTTAATAGTACTATACATACTGCAACTGAATGGTTATAAATAAAACTGTTATGCATAAATCATGAAAAACTTTGTGTTTTTCTTAGTCGTTTACTTATTTTTGTAAAGCACTATACTTGCATAGTGAAGCCAATAAATTTAGGGTTCTATTGTATCCCGAAATCGTCACTGTTATAACCGGTCCATCGGCACTTTTTTAATTGGGTTCCCAACCATTATATCTGGGGAGTCATTTCCGCTATGTACGTATTGACTCCGTTGAGTCAAAAGTCTTATTGTTCTTACTTGACAATCGAGAACCATTGTAATCCCTCGATTCTACTGCTTATATTCGGATACGAGAACCACTGCAATACCCACGACGCAAAATGAGAACATGAGTGACTGGTTCAATGAATTTTTATTGACTCCCCGAAATTGCATCATCCTTTGACTACAATACAATTATTTATCTACCAAGTTCCACACACTTCATAGTACTACTTGGTTGAGGTAATTGTAAAATCATACACAATAAATATAGTTCATCTGAACTAATTTTGGGAATAAAATTGTCGCACTCAACGAGAATTCACACTTGTCTTACAGAACAGAGTTTTCACTGAAGTGATACAAGAAAATATTAATTTCAAATGTCACACTGAACTAAGTTTGGACTCTAGCCAAAATTTATAATGATTTGATACAAAAATGTTGACCTAAATAGTGTCATTTTATCGCGTCATCTCAGGTTCATGTCTCGAAAATAAGTCACCAATTGGATTATTGATTTAATGGAGTTTTTTTCACAGATTTAAATCATGAGTCAGTTGAAGCTAGATCACCATTGAAAACCTGGAAGCAGGAGTTTATTTATCTAGCACTGGTTCATTGATTCAACTTTAGTCCCACTTTTCCATGATACAACTCATTCTAATCAATAAGGGAGTGCTCAAAATAAAAGATAAAAGATAAGGTTTAAATCTGCCGCTCATTGGTTGAAATTATTATATCCACTAGGGAAATAACAAACTGATATTGAAAAATTAGTTCTCATCATCATAAATCAAACTATTCTTCAACAATTTCATGCAATTAGTTCTCTTTATGAATTTAAATAAAACCAGGACGAATATGGATGCTTAAGGTATATCAATGATGTGCCTGGTGACATTCCTCAAGCTTTTAAAATTATTAGCAAAGAAAGAAATATTGCTTCTCTTAGGTTTGCTGAAGCGATTATGATGAAAAAGCTCAAATATGATCTATGTATTCAAAACGATACAGTAATAAATCAATTGCTACCCTGGCAATTTAATGTTTTGCACATTAGTTTTATATTGTTAGTGTTTATTTGGTTATATTTCTCTTACATTACCGAGTTCTTATCTTATGTACATTTAAACCACCTCACTTATACATTTCCAACCACTCAATTCTCTCAAATTACGTGAACTCATCAAATCTTGTTTAATTATTACGCAATTCTACTAATCTTATACAAACACTTCATTACCTCAAAATTATCACACAATGTATCTTATTTGTCCCTGAACTACACTCAATGATTGCATCACCCACCCATCATGTTTCTTGATTCTAACATCAAATGACCTCTGACCTGTTCTTGCACACAGATATAGAGATATTATCGATAAGATTTTTCATTCCGATTATGGACATTCATTTATGTCAGTTATTTCACACTATATATTATCTCAATGTAAAATTCTAATACAAATATGATTGTAAGCAGCTGATGAGGAACCATGAAATATAATGAATTTATATTATTCTGCATTCATGTACGTTCTGCATATTCTATTGTGTTGATAGTTTAATATAGACATAAATTCACAAATGAATGAAAGGTATTTATGTTTGCTTCCAAGTTTAGAGACAAACATCAATTTTTAAAGCTAAGTAGATTGAGTTCTTTGTTCAGTGCATATATAAAGTCTAGTCTAGTCTACTATTACAACCATTTGGTGAGTTATGAATATAATTTTTTTATTGATCTGGATTCTAAATACATTTTTCAACAGCTGACATTCCATACTAAGAAGAGTAAGGATTTAACAGAATTTATGCAAAATTTTAATATAATAATGGAGGAATCTACCAATTAAGTCTACGAGACCACTGCGTATTAATGAATTATAATCGATTCATAATTTAACTTTTTCTGTTATTTATAAGTAGTTACTAAACAATAGACTAAGCTTCTTGTATCTTCACTACATCAGTATTTACATCTATCTAGTGTAAAAACAGTTGAGAATTCTTCTGATAGTGATATTCGTGATAATTTGTGTTTAACTGAGATAGTTGTTATTGATGAAACTAGTGGTTTTGATTGGTCAGCCTAGTAATAATGATATGTACGACAAATTTTAGAACAGTGTACGTATGTTATCTGTCGGTGATAGTGTGTGTAACATTGTGAAGTAATACATCACGTAGAATCTTTGACAAAACCCCTGATTGTTTTGCCTCTACTATTCCTGTTTGCTGTTAGTGAGCGGTCAGCATGTTGTTTTAATTATTGAACAACTCATAGTTTATCGATTCGCAAATTCCATTTTTGTTGTTGTTGTATTACGATAGTAATCGTGCAATTAAACTATAGTTGTGTAGTGTTCAAAGTGCTTGACTTTGACTTCTCGAATAGGGTCATTGAGCAATTAGTGTTTCGTACCATATGATTTCTTCAATACATGTATGTGCTTGATATGCCTACCTGTAACACGGAAATAGCTAAACACTGTTGAGCTATCTTCTGTCCTCTTGTCATATTGGCTAGTTCAGGAGTGCAGATAATTTTTGATGTGTTAACACCGAAACACATTATTTCACTATCAAGCTATTTATCTTAGCAGATATTGCAGACTAACAGTCTTCTTGTTTCTTTATATCAGAACAGTCAGTCAGTCAGTAACAACGTAGAACCTCGTACGTACGTACATCAGTTCGAGTTGCCACACCACCTTTGATTCTCTGGCAAGGTCTTTTCTAGGATTATCTGTTAGTATGGCTGAGAAGTTTGACATGTCCGAGATTCTCTATAAAACGTTTCAGGTATAGTGAGAGCATACAACCACCTGTTTCGATTGTTCCGCTAAAGCAATGAAGATAGGAAGGGTTTACCAATCTCACCATTCCTCTTCAACTTTGCCATCAATGACATTCTGGAAACAGCTTGGATGGAAGGATGTAATAATGGTGTGGATCTGTTACTTTGAAAAACACTTCTCGACCTTGAATATGTGGGTGATATTGTCGTACTGTGCGCTGATATTCAAGCTATCCAAATCCCACTTGATCACTTGAAAATCGGTGTCCAAAAGTTTAATGTATATGATTTGCACCTTCTGAGTGCAAAGTACTTTTATAAGACTGTCAGGAGCATATACTTGGACGTATTGTCAGTAATGAGCAGTTGAAAGTATTCGAGAAGTTCGAAGAATTGGTGATAGTCAGTGTCAACACCATATTAGTAATGCTGTGTTCGACAATGTGCACTCGGGAACAGTGGTGATAATTCAATTGGTGTAACCATTTTGGAACACTGGCTTCGGTGGGTTGGACATGTGTGGCGAACACTGACCCAATGAATTCCACATGTTCCATTATTTGTTGATACTGTAAATGGTTGGTAAAAGCAGAGATGAAGTCAGTTTATGACACACTACTGTGACTGGAATCTATTGGTCCGTGTTGACACTGTTTTTGGGAGGTAGATATTAAGTAACTCAACGGCTGACGTTGTTCTCATACATGGCTCAGAATAGAAGCCATAGTGGACGTGTTGTTGTAATTTTCTTTTACATTCTTCATAGCCCTCAAGTGCCCTGGTACGGCCGAGTTTAGGGAAATTTCGCTCTCCCTAACAGAATGCTCTCATTTAGCCACATGCATACAACCACTGCCAGGAAAGTCCTACACACTACCTTCTTGTGGCAGGGGTGTTGTTTACGAAACTGAGAGAACAAAAAGCGGACTTCAATCACTTTAAACAGGTTGATAGACAAGGAGTATCTATCTGGGAAGTTGGAAAACTCTGATTCCAAACCAATGGTGTTCATGGACTATTAGAATCTTGAAGGAACAAATGGCGTATGAACCAATCGTTAGTCGCGGTCTACCATGGGACTACATCTCCTGACGAAACTCCAATGCCTAGTGGTTCAGACCTTTAGTTTGAAGGCTCTGGGTGTGGCCGCATAAGAAGACCATCTGCTTCGATTTGGGCACCCGGACAGTATTATAACTCACAGACAAATCAAGTAACTTATGTGGCGTACGTGTAATTGGTGCCCCTTGTACCAATATATGTGTGTTCAAATAAATAAATAAATAAATAAATAAATAAATAAATAAATAAATAAATAAAATACATTCTTCATTACAATAATAGCGTCTTCTTTAACCGTAAGAATTCTTCCGGTTTTATATTTTTAACTGAATTATTTCTCCTATTATTTAATCTCGTCCATATGATTTTGAGATGGTGGAGAAGATTTGTAGCTCAGATGGATGATTTTGATGGAGTTTTGTTCTCTGAGCTAGATAGTTTTGTCGTAGAGCTTTCATTGTTCTTCATGTAAAAGTCTACCTGAAGGTTTGCTAATGATGTTGTTCAGAAGAACTATGAAAGCTCCACGACCAAATTATCCAGCTCAGAGAACAAAGCTCCATCAAAAACTAATCTCTTCCACTTATTCTTATTGATTAATTGCCTTTTTTAAAATCATACTCATCTTTCTTCCTCTATCTCTTCACAATCTCATTTCTTTACTGTGTGTTAAATATTTATTCTGATGTTCTTTTGCACCAACATTTATGTGCTTAGCAAATTAAGGAATCCTACTCAACAACGTTTACATAATAGTTTAACTGTTTATAGGATAAACAATAGAAACTTACTCCATGATTTCAAATGAATGAATGTAGGCCGTGAAATAAGTAATTAATGAAGATAATAGAATAAGTAAAAGAGCGAATAGAATTCCAGCTATTCGTTTCCTATAAAAAAAGTAATAATAAATATATTTGAGTTTATACTTTGTGATTAATTTACTATACAGAATGATACAGTATTGATAGTTTCAATAATTCCATAAGCATTTAATGAGACTATACTTTATGGACAACCTTCGAGTAATCCTTAAGTTACCTTTGAAATGTCTACTTACTTACTAGAATTATGAATTCGTTTAAGGAATTAGAATAGGGATTTACAGTTGGACATTAGGGTTTAACAATTAGAGTTAGGGTTCTAAACACATCAACTATAATTTTAAAATGATATAGAGGAATAAATTTCAAGTTGACATCCAAGACTTGTCATCTTAAATTTGATTGGTTCGTTCATATGTTATGATCTTATCAATCATTTGTATAATATTTGTTTCCAAAATAAAATGTAGACAGTTTAAATGACTAGATGTATGATAAAATGTTTAGGAGATTCTTTAACATTCATTTATAATGATCAATTCATCAGCCAGTTTGATGCATTCTCAATGGAAACCAAATGTAATTGTGTTCAAATTGAATAGTAGCCTTCTTTTTAAATAAGTTTTTTTTTTCAAAGTGTCGATGATTTTCAATATCAATGATTTCTTTATGTCAAGCTACTACTACATTGACTATGCTGATAGCAAACGTTCTATATCAGGTTGTATTAGTTGATATTTAAGACTGTACTTCAGAGTTATTCATACTTAAGTATTCTGTTTTATTTTCATGGTAATTCTTAGTAATTTCAGGATATATTTTATTCAATTTGATATAGTATATATCATAAGTGTTTAGGCAGATGAATCATTGGTACTTATTTAAGTAGCTTAGATTATTGTACAAAATCATTGAAGATGGGCAGATTACGCAGATGTCTTTAGTGTGGTTGTATCTCTAAACTGGGTAATTTATTTTTGTGGATAACATCATTAGCGCCTAATTTATGTAGAAGTGAGAAATCTTTTATTTTGTAAGTGTCAAATTTATACATTTTGATGGCGTTTCTTATTCTCGTTGCTTTATTCATCTTCGTTTGTTTTCGAATTCCCGTTCAAAGTTTCATTCGTGTGACATTGGACTGAGTGATTCATTAACATTTTCCATACTAACTGGTAACTTAGAACTATGCTGATATTATCTAATCGTTAAACGCTAAATAAAATGCTAACTTATGTATATATTAAGGTTTATAACGTCTATTTTGTCCAATGCAGTATCCTTATCAGTTTGTACAATTTATTTTGTGAATGACATTCAGTTTGTGTTCCTCTGTTGTTACGTCCTCATTTGCATGAATCGTAGTGGAGCTGTTGTATATCATATTTATGGAAGAAACGTTTGGTCATAGCTGATTTACAGTAGTATATAATTTGTCTTTGAATATCGTGTTTATCAGTCTTATTAACATACAATTTGTTTTACTCAAGAATCCTGCACCAGAACATCAGAGTTTGCTGCAATACAATTATTAGGTTGTGTTGGGATATTCAGAAAAATATCCCAAAAACAATTATCCGGTTAAGTCTAATGCTACCCTTGAACGTTAAATGGTGTCATTTTCCTATTGGACGTTTCCCTACTAATCAATATTTATTTCGCGTCATTTCCCCATTGGTTAATATTATTTCACGTGTCATCTTTCTGTTGGTCAATATTTATAGTAATCCTAACTGTATAAATATGCATTTGTTTGTAAATCATTATTCGGCTCCTGACCCCATAAGCAATTTTTCATCTACGGTTCGTGTTCTGATATATTGGAGATCGGGAACAGTATTGGGGTCGAACTGGGATATCTGAAGCTGGTCAATCGGTAGAAATTAGAGTAGCCACCTCGCGATACACAATAATCTGGCGACGGGGATGGGATTCGAACCCACGCGGGGAAACCCCAATGGATTAGCAAACAGGTCTATATATATAGGTTTATTATTTACACATGTGACATTATTTATTCTCTAAAGTATTTTCGGTCAGTCGGTCAGAGGTTCCACCTTCCGTCATCTATTCAACTAAGATTTGAAGACTGATTCTCTGAGTAAATCATACGTTTGTCACCTTAGTTCATTTAGTATTTTATCAATCATTAGTATTGTCATAACAATATTTTCTAGAAACATGCATTTTATAATGTTCCCATTGTGAAGCTATCTAATTAGCATATTATCTCTTGAATATTTTTTGTCACTGATATGGTAAAGTTTGATAAGGAACTAAATTGGTGTTTCCATTATAGAGAAATCTAACTAATAAACCCTTAAAATGTTGGAAGTAATAGAAAACGTTTTCATTATAACGTGATATTACTTATAAGTACCTAGTCACTTCAACTTCTTTAGATAATAATAAAATGGTCCCACGATTAGATGGCAAGTTACATTTGAATAGTCGACATAACCATTTGTAGTCAGTTAAGAATAATCAATGTCGACGCTGTAATCTTCCATACTTAACATTTCTAAACGTTAGTTAACAAGGATTCTTTCTAAAACTTCTTGATTTCATTGGTAATTATTACCGGTCAAGATAATATGCATCTGTCAATAGAATGAATGTCTCTTTGTGAAATGTCGAGATTTCGAGCAACACTATGATTTTTAAAAATAGAATTTATGAAATGTGCATATAAATGAAAATCATCTATGAAGTTATTTGTTTCTGTATTCTCAAGATAATATTATTTGCTGTAAAAATATTTATTTGTAAAGGATCTTTCAAAAGATTCACTTCGAGATCCTGATGACATAAAATTTTGATTTTATCAGCATAATGAAGAATAAGAAATTATAATATATTACAAAATCCAAAGCGATAAAGATGTGACGAGGTTAATTCCTCTATAAGTGACTCCACTAAATAGCATCCCGTTAATCGAGTATTTACGCAGACCAAATCTCCTAGTAATATTACAAGTTTACATGAGATTATTCAAAAGTCAGAACACCAGTTGTAGTGATAGCTTATTGTTAATAATTGATAAAAATCCGTATGCATGCAGAAAACAAGCACATAGAAAAATGAATGTGAGAGAGTGTAGAGAGCGAAGCGAAATAGATCAGAGAACGCATATTAGCCAACTCGATTTAACCAAGCATGAATCGATATTTATAGTCGAACAACAATAAGTTACAGACACAATGAGAAACGTAAGCAATTAGCACACATGACGTGATCATACAAAAAATCGTCAAGACTAATAAGCGAATAAGTGACTAGGGTAAAAATGTGGCTTGAGAGCAATGAATAAATTGATCTGTTCATAATCTAGAATAACTTATGTGAACTTGGTTTAGTACCAGCCCTGACAAATGAATTTTTTACATTCTACCCGATATCTCATTGTTTTCATGCATTTATCAAAAACACTCAGCTTTCGGATTGTTTAATCTCATCATTTGCCGAAAATACATAGATCATTTAATATCTTATGGCATACTTTTAATTTTGCTCTATTCTACTATTGGCTTGAACATTTCATCTACTATATTTCAATAGAAAACGAAGACATATACGGTATAAATGACTCAGAATTTACTATTTCTTTCTACAGATAAGGTTTCAACTCTTATCAGATTTTTTTTAAAATATTTCCCTCCTTTTTATGTACTAAGACAACGGTGAATAGAAGTTATTCATATGACTAGGTCTTAACTAGTCAAGTATGCGTTAACAATACCATATAATTAATCCAGTCACTAATAATACGCAAATAAAAGAATATCTTCTCGACTAGATTTTGTTTTCATTTATGAAAAGTAATTTCATGTGTTATATCAGTTAATCAATCATAGAAACGTTTTTGGAGGGAAAATGTTTATCAATAATAATAGGACATCGAATGCTTCTAGGTTTCCAATGGGGATCTAGTCTAATATTGATCAGTTCATAATCTTAAACTCAATAATCTCCACAATTATTTTGTTTTCTATTTAAAATCATTTATTCAACTTACCACATAAGTAAAGTTATAAAAATTGGAGCCAAAATTACAGTGAATTGTATATCATTTGCAATATACCAAGACCATTGTAAACACTGGAAAAAAAAGTGGAATTCATAAGCAATTGAGGAGATCTATGTATTATGATAAAGTTTTGATAAATAATGAATTATTTTGATTGATGTGACGAAGAATAAAACTTTCTTGTTTTGGTAATTCTCACAGATAAATTATATTCTGTATTTACTGGTCATACTGTTTGGTATGTAGTCAATAATCGTGTACATTTACGTATGTTAAACCATATAGATATAAGTATTATATAGGTAAGATATGAAGTAATGATAAAGTAGTTTCGAACTGAATTATGTTCTGGTTACAATAAATATTAGTGGATATACCCAGACATTTTTATCTTGCTATGCTAACGAGTTGTGACGTCTTGAATTGATCTACACATATACTTGGTTCTACATTATTTACAACTAACTTGAAGCTGGATACATATAAATAATTAGCAAACTGAAATCTTCATTTAAATAACCTTCTAACGCTCATTAGTAATCTGATCCTTTTACAAGTAACTTTTTTAAAGTTTCAATGTTAGAAAAAATGGGAGATATAAACTTATATCGAGAAAGACTTGAAAATTATCAGCTAACGAATCGTTCATACTACATGGGGATAATTTTGAGATTTAAATTATCTTTTAGGGAAATCATTAACTGAAATTTAACAGCTTTGATATGAAACAGTAAAATAATATGGGTGGTGAACGAATGTTCTACATTACCAGTGATCCAAATCAGCAAAGATTGATTGTACAACTTGTTATTAATACTAAAATGGATAGTGTTACCATGACAATGGTTCTTTAAAATTATTCGACAGTTGTATATCATGGACATTTATCATTATAGTTGACTATTTTGAGTTTTAATTCGAAATCTGACATAAGGGACCGACTTTGGTTAAAAAATCAGGTAGAACTAGGAAGCATTGGAAAGCTGCTTCACTATAGTATGGAACTGCTCGGAAGTAAGCATTCACAAACCGGCTAGATATCAAACCAAGGATCATCAGCTTAGTCATTAAAACATAGGGAATTTTGAAAGCCATTACAGTTGTACACTGAAAAGACTTTGGAAGTAATCATTCATGAAAATCATTTTCGTTATTTTTATGATCATAGTACGCTATATCATTAAAATTACGCGTCTAAGCCATTAGGTTTACCCAGTTCAAGAGCTTTATTGTAAGGACTTCTGATACATATTACATCTTGGGTTAAACAATAACATAATTCAGGCACTATATATATATATATATATATATATATATATATATATATATATATATATATATATATATATATTACAGTCTAAAACGCAAATTATTGGATGCCGGTCAAGTGGTATTAAGGTTGAATCACCAGACCTGAATGTTATAGCTTCAATGTTTTGAGGAGTGAAAAGTTAACATTGCTGAAGAGTACTATACAGTAACGAAAAACCTCGCTATTTGTCCATGACTTTCAATGGTTGTTTTTTTTACTAAATTTAATCAATGATGTAAGCTACAGAAATATTTATTTCGACTGGCTTTCTATTTCATTTTTCTCTGTTAGTCGGTTGGACTTAACCGACAGGATACTCTAGAATTATATTTCTTTCTAATCCTCATGTTTTAAGATTCTTCAAGGAACTAATACTCTTTTTTAGAAATTGGACCTGTATCAGAGATTGTTACAATCAGAGATATTGATTTAACCGAATAATCTCTTGTAGAAATGAGTTGTATACATTAACTGATCAATAAATCTAAACCAAAACTGCATTATCTGGTTCTTATTACTAAGCCAATTGTTTACATAGATTGAAATTATATATATATTAGTGACTTACACTATTTTGAAAATCGACTACATTAGTTAAATAAAAGAAATACCAATGTTTTCGACAATTCTCTATTACTGGTGAATGTATATCTTGAGGAAAAAATGGTCCATCGTATATATGATTTAATAAACCCGTAAAGAAGATAACTGTAACAAGGTAAGCTGGAGTAAGTCTAAGTTGAATAATAAAATGACAAAGATATAATTTATAGGCAAATAAAATGTATCATTAAATTTCTATTTAGATTGTAAATAATTTAAAAGAAAAAAAATTGTGAATAACATTTCAATTATAATGGTGCAAGTGCATCCACTCTTTGTGTTCCCTCAAATTCTAATTTTCTGAATTCTTCATATCCCTTATTTTCTCTCCAAATTTATTTCACTGTATTATACACCTTGAATAACATCTTCAAGCCATAATGTTTTTGATTACTGCTTATACTCTTACTACCTCTACCACTATGGAATTTGAATCGACAACTACATCTCTGTGCTAATGTGATGTGACAACTCGAATTGATGTACGTACGTACGAAGTTCTACGTTGTTACTGACTGACTGATTTTATTAAATCCATTATGGTATTTCATATAATTTTGATTGGGTAACTTCTAATATTACTAAAGATATACTTATTATAAGTCAAATTAAACTAAACTCACATATGACTGGAGAGTTTATCTATTGAAGTGATTGTGAAATTAATCAATGAACAAGTAATAATTTGCTATCAGGTATATTAATGTGTCAAAATACCTATGTATTTTGATTTTATTGAGTAGAATAAGTTAGATGATTTTATTGAAGTGTTTCCATTGTCGTTGCAGAGTACGTTATTAGCTCCAACTATTATCCATCTGAGAAAAACTGATAATATTGAAAGGATCTATTTCAGTTGTAAATTTTCTTTATCATTTCAAATACATGTATGTTTATTCTAAATTAATCCGTTAAATCATATGTACGAAATAATGACGTAATAATTCAATCGAGTTTAAAATACTGATACCCCAAAGATAACTCTCATACAATTTTTCGGAAAAGAAAAACTTCTAATTGCAAGGTTTGTAATACGTTCAACAATTTACGATTGATTGATCACCGATTAGTGACCAATATCATGTATCTCAAGTACTTCTTGAGTTGACATTAATTAGCTGTAAATACATTGTAGTTCTACAGGATGTCATTCAACGTTCATATAGCTTACTGATAATGTCTATGACTGTAAAACCGGGTAACATGAGATTGAATTTGCAATGAAATATCGGTTTTCTTGATATTGTTGATCAGTTTTGAGTAATGTGGAACTTATTTTAAGTAGGGTCTCTTATCGACTGATAAGTATATTGCCCTTTCTAAAAGAGAGCTCATAAGTAATTTTAGTCAGAAGAAGAATGTACACATTATATAAAACATTTTTAATTGGATAATTTTATGTAGTCAAGTTAATATTGAGCATTTAATGTGATGCATTTCATTAAGTTGATAGTAAACGAATAATCGATAATCGTTTTGATTTCTTTTTCCCTGTATTTATGATTGATTAACTGATAAAAATCAGTTAATTTAATTTAGAAGATGCTATTTTTGAGATAATATCATTACTTTGGTAACATCTTGACAAAACGGCCGTTCAATGCTTCTAGGTTTCCCATGGTGATTTAGCTTAAATTGACTCATGAATTTAACCATTAAATTACTAATATCTTCACAAAACCGCCTTTTGATAATACTCATCATCTGCTTATTATTGACTGGCCTCAAGAGGCATTTCCTAAGGTTCTAGTGAGAATCAGTTACCAGTGGAGTTGAACCAGGTCTGTTGTGAGATAGTAATTCCCTGAAAACAATGATTGACGGTGGCTCAACTTCGTGGATTAGTTGAAGTTAAAAATTAACACCGTTGAATGCTGGCTCTAGTGGTTAAGCGTTCGCGCGAGAACGATAGATCCTGGGTTCTAATCCCGCGGGTGGGATCGTGGGTGCGCAATGCTGAGATGTCCCATCCTATGACGTAACGACCGTCCGGGTTTTCCATGGTGATCTAACGGTAATTGACTCGTGGATTCAACTATTAGATTACTAAAATCACCACAAAACCTCCTTCTGATAATAAACATTTTGAAATGACTAGACCTGATATAAAGAAAACAATACCCCATTTTTAGAGAACCAAATTTTATATCCATACAAAGAAGGAAAGAAATTATCACTTAACTGATAAATAATGACAAAACATGTAAATGAAATTTACACAATAATTACTGACAGATAATTCTTTTCTGTCTTTCATAAAAAAGGAATTTTGTCAATTCATGACTAAGTTAATGAGTTTTCATTTCAAAACTGTATGATACACCATTTTGATTCGGGTCAAAGTATAGATTTTAGTATGGGGTTATTTGTCAACCCATGATAAATTAATTACATGTTCACGTTGTTATATCCGAACGAAGAATAAATGAATGGTAACTGCTAGAAATTATTTATGGACTGTTATTATACAGACATTCTTATTGTATAACTATTATATATGATTCATATAGCTCAAGCTGAGATTGTGTTTTGGATTTAAGGGGCAGGGCTAGGTGATAAGAACCAATAAGGGCTCAGAGTAGAATCTGGGCTGCTCGTGCTGATTAACACATGATTGATTCGACATAGGGTCTATGTCGTATAAACGGGTGTTCTGATTGGCGATCTTATTAGGTGATAATTGTCAGGGACAAAGTCATAACATACATTAAGGAGGGAGAATGTGTTTAAAAAATCTCAGCGAATAAACTTGAATTAAATCTAACATTTCACCTAGTAATCTAGTTCAAGCTTTTTCACGGAATTATAATCAGGCATAAAAATAATCGAATATATTCGATTATTTTGATTTTAAAAATACATTCTTTCTCCTTATTGTTTCATATTAACTCGATCAAATTTAGACGAAAGTTCTTATATTCATAACTTACGTGTTCTAAAATTATGAATCTTTGTAAACTGTTTATTTAGATTTTTCACTACTCATAATCATGTTTTTGTTTTTAAATCAAAATTGATTGTGTGTCTGGTCCTTATCAGTGCAGATCGAATGCTATCGACCATGTTGCAATGTGGCCACCAGCCTAGGTGACTCGACACTGCGGGCACTATTGTGAGATTAGATGGTGGTTGGAGGTAGTCGACAGGAAACCCTGGACCAGGGTTTCGTGCTACTTGGCACTCGTCAGCAAGGTGTACCTGTATTCTTGAGGGAACTGGTGCTCCCTGGTGGATTCGATTTCGTGTCACCCAGCTTCACAGTCAGAGACGTTACCACTGAGATATCCGAGCCATGACCGACCTCCTGTAGGACTGAGATGTAATCACAATTGATTGTTTATCATTTACTGAATGTGTAAATAACCTTCTAGTATAATTTCAGTTCCATTACTGTATCTATGAATGTTTAAAAAACAATTTAAGATATTAACTATCTTACCTGATAAATCGATGTACGATTAACATTAACCAAAATTTCATATGGTTTTTTACACCAATTACATTTGTGATTCGTCCCATACATAAGTAACATAATAATAAACCCCTGAATAAAATTTTTTTAAAAATCACTATAATTAATAGTTCCATAAATTATGAATAATAAAGTAGTTGATTATAAGTAAATAAATGGACAGTTAAAAAGGATACTTAATTAGGTAGTTTATGAATGGAACAGTATAAAAATGTTGTAGATTAGAATGAAATATAGGTATAGTGATTTTTGGTTAATTCAGTAGTTCTTTAGATGATCCCGCTTGTTTATCACAGATATATCTACTCTTCAGATTAATTAATTACTTCGATTCGCAGTTATCTAATATACCCTTGTGGGCCAGGGTAATTTTACATTGTTTTCCAGGAGAACCAGACACCGTCCGGACTTTCACGTGATAACCCAAACAGTACAGCTCAATCCCGTTTAACAAGAGAACCAGACACCATCCAAACTTAAATTTTATAAACCGAGCGGTACAGCTCAATCCCGCTTCACAGGAGAACCAGATACTGTATAGGCTTTAACGCTACAATCTGAATAGTACAGTTCACCCTGTGGCGCATCCACACAGGTACCAAGCACCCTGGTGGACCAGTTACTTCGATTGGTAACTGCTAATGGTTTAAACACTGATTTACATACAATATTGTTCAAAATCAAATAGTTGACAGAAATTGCATACTTTTAATCAGTTATATTTTTATGAACTTTATAATTCATTGCAATTCTCAAAAGGTACTATAGTCAGAAATGAATTCTAAACGCTTTAGAATGATTTGTTTGAAGTTGGCTTGTATGTATCAAACTGAATTTCAACAAGCTGTTGTTGTTGGTGGTGTACGTGCATTTTTTGTGGATTTCCTCGATACAAATATTATGTTACAGTTTACTTAAAATAAATGGATTGGACATATCCCAACAAAGACGGATCCAAATATCAACAACGGCATAGTTTAAACCCTCACCAAAAGTGGTATTAACACTAAACTAAGTGAAAAAGTTATTGACTATCTGCAGCCAACAGTTTATAGTGGAAAACATATTAAGTGTTTGAAGCGATCAATACTATATTGGAGTTCCAATGTGAATATGTATACTAGGATGAAGGTACATCTAATTGACAGGATCCACTTTACTCTTATTATTGATTTGAAAACTTACAAATGTCTATTTAAGGAAATGTTTAAAAAATGCACAGATTAAAATGTACTCACGACATAAAAAAGAAGATATCTGGAGCTAAATGTCCATTCAAATACATTCCGAATAGCCAAATACGTCGAAATTCACCAGCTAATATTAATAAATTATCTAAAGTAATGTTTTTTTTTAAAAAAAGAATACAATTTCAAGTGGACTTTAACATTTACAGTTATTGTATTAATGGTTATGGTGAAACGACCTTAGCTGATCGAACACTGAAAATTTAGAAACACTTTTTATACAGACCTCTTCTTCAGTGGGTATCCACTGCCTCTCCAAGAATCAAGCCCAAGATCTTTTGTAAATATTGGGAATCGACTAAATTTTGAAATATAAATCATTGTATCTCAACTCACTATATGGTCTAGAGGTTCAAACTTTTATCTCTTAAAGGATTACCGATACGCATTGTTTAAGAGTTTCATTGTGTAACGAAACACCTTTTAATGCTGGCGAGTTTTTTGAGATTACCCAACTAAGGTCCGTCTGTGCTATATAACTATAAGACTTACAAATATATTATCTATTTATAACAATCTACCCAATGCTCAATTTATTCGAAGTTATCAAATCAAACCTTGGTAATGATACCTATAATATTAACAGTTATAATTCTCCGATTTCATTGGTTTAAAATAATGTTTGTGAGTTATGTAAGTTATTTTAGGCACAAATTAGTATCATTTAGTAAATCATCAAGAATCCAGAAACCACTGATCCAAGTTGAATACTTTATACCAACACAAACCCAATAATTCTAAAATACATATGCAACATGATACTTTTAGACCGTTGAGCTATAATTTATTGACTCATACATTTAAATTTAGTCATTTGATGAAATAACATTACTAATGAGATACCATTTTACTTACATATTTCTTTCGAAGACAAAATTTACATTTGAACTTTATTAGATACTGTTTTCGAGTTAAGTAGTGTTGTTGTATCACAAATAAATGCATAAGAATATCTATTTGGACAACTTAGGACTGAACAAGTCTTATTATATGAATTTGGTAGAACTGGATATCGACTAATAGATGACAGTTTACTAGTGAGAGGACTAAACAAACGTACTTTAAATAGATACCATTAGAATTGTTAGTCTAAATATCATACTACTCATTATTGGATGAAGTAGATTCACAAACATTGTATTCCACTTTGCGTTCAGTGTTTTTCAAGTCGTAATTTAACCCCCGAGCCATAATATCACTAATTTATTGAATTAGCGAAATATAGTTCATATTTTCAAACACATGTACTTGACATAGGAAATTAAGGCTGCGTAAGCCTGCAAAGCTGTTGTGAGTATGTTGTAAAGCAAAATTAACCGGCATTCAAATAACACTGAACCATGTAAACATTTTCTAAAGGAAACTAATTTTCAATAACATTTCTTTGCTCACTTCAATTGTATTATCATAGCAAATGGAATGACATAAACAGATAAATATATGTATTGAATAGCAATGGTGAATAGTGGCTAGCAGTAAAGTCCAGAACTCGCGTTTCGTCTTATTTGGGACTCGTCAGCTGGATGTACCTGCATCTCAGAGTTGACGTTCATTCTGGGACTCGAACCCAGTACCATTCGCTTCAAACGCCATCGCGTTATCCACTTACCTATTTAGTCCTGATAGCCACTTGCTTGTGCATACGCACAGTATGCACATATGCCAATAACAGACTGATCAATTGCAGTCTTAACCTCTATGGGAAGATGTAAGCCAAACAATACCAAGTGAATTTAAATTCACCCCATCGCTAGTCACTATGCATCACTGCTTACAAAAAGCTTGTGAATTAAGGCAATATCGAGGCACACGCACAATTTGCACATATTCCAATAACAGACTGATCAATTGCAGTCTTAAACCTCAATAGGAAGATACAAGCCAAACAATACCAAGTGAATTTATGTATTAAATAGGTTGAACGAGTTAACAGGAAACTTTAAACATAGGTTTCTTGCTAGCATCGGAACACTTGTATGCAAGGGATATACTTATTTTTGACAGAACTGATATTTCTATGATTTTAAAATCTGTATCATTAAATGTTACCATAAGGTATATGACCATTGAATTATTCGAACTGTGACTAGTCTCATACAAATTTGACATATTGACACTAACCAGGCAATTAGCAGCAAATTCAGTCGATTTTTTAATATTTAAATGTGCCAATCAACACTTTTCAATATGATCATTTGTCTAAATAACGTAATATTTCATGATTAATCATAATGTTAGGATGATGAAAAGTACTCCACATGGTCATAGATAACGATAGCATATGTACTTGAAAATTTTCAGTATAATTTATATTTTTGGCCTGTAAAGCAAAACCATTATAGTGCATGAAAATCGAGCTTAAAATGTTTGCAGTAATGTATTGAAACGAATTCAACTTACTTGTCAACTTATAACCATGCAGTAGTATATGTGCTCCAATAATCCAAATCATTGAAATAAATCGAATACCATCAAAAAATGTTAATGAGATATTATGTGTTCCATTAGATTTATTATCTTCATTTCTTTTTGCACATAATTTCATTGTATTAATTGGTAATGAATAAGCACATAGTATCTTGGTGAGAATACGTTTTTCCAAAATACCTTGTAAAGGAAAGAAATTTGTTTTTTATATTGAATATTTCTATACTCATTAAAAGGTTAGCGTTTTTTAGCGAGTTAACTTTCTACAGGAAGACTAAACAAAAAATTGAATAGAACTAGAAATGAAGGCCCAGGACAGAGTGGATTGGAGAATGCTAATCGGTGGCCTATGCTCCATTAGGAGTAACAGGCTTAAGTAATACTCATTGAAATAAATTACACTGTACTTAGAATAATTTACAATTCATAATTAAAATAAATAACATAGTTATAAGACAATTAACAGATTCATTCGAAGAATTTGAGTGGTATTTGCTTACTCTTTTTCTATAGCAATAAATATATTTTACAGTATTTTTGTGAAATTCAACAAGAACTTTCGTTGGAAGAATGTGAAAATTTTAATAAAACAATGATAGTACTAGTAATATAAATAGTAGTAATGATATAAAAATATAAATAATGTGATAATATCAGTAAATGTCTTAATATTTAAAAAGGTCACAGACAAGAAAATCAATTAATAAATTCCTCTATAAGGCTTTAAAATATAGTTTGTGAACAAGGGAATCCTAGTTACGAAGATAATAAACTATCAAAAAACAGATAGGAAAGTTGAATTCATGAGTCGATCTAAGCTAGACCACTATTGAAAACCTGGAAGCAAGATTAGAAAGTGTGGAAAAACCATAGTCTTTTTATATGATTTCATATTGTCATATGAGAGAGAGAGAGAGAGAGAAACATCACATACTTGGTTTGAATAAAATGATTGAGGCTTCTGGCTGGGAATCCGATAGTGTATGTTATGTGTAGTAATTCATTTTGAAGAAAGTTACGAAAATGTAACGGATTGTGATGTATAACTTTGGATTATCTAGTCCTCTTTCACCAAGTAGCTTTTATCAAACGGATGTAATGAGTTTGTCTGATCGTTTCCCCAATCAATGAGGGGATTATTGGTTTTTTTATAAAGGTTAGTGACAACACTAATTATGAAAATTAGGATGAGAATGCAACTACACAAAAGGTGGTGCAATAAGAATAATTACCACACCTATGGTTAATCTAGAGTATAAAAAACAAAGATTGACACCAGAAAATGTTTATTTTACAGTCCTGATTAATTTTTGGTGGACGTCAACCTCTCGTGAATCGGTATTCACAAAGTAGAGACATCTTGCGAATACACAATGTTTCTAAGTTCTTGTTCGTCACATGGATATATTAACTGACAAAACTCTCGAGGTACCTCACTTTACCGAATGGTTTTAACAGATACTTCAGTTCTCTCTGTATGATATCGTTCAAGCCAAGATTTCTTGGTTTGTTAGCGTGACATGTTATGAAAATTGCTTTAGTGTCCGATGACCACGAATTGAGAGCACTGTGTATCCTGATATTTTGGTAAGTCTCGTCTGTACACACTTAAACTAATAGATTTATAATTTAGTTTGTTTAACGGAGAATTTAAAAACAATTGTAATAAATCAACAAACTCTTGCCAAAAAAGAGTAAAATTAAGTGATCTGGAGAACATGGACAAGTCCTCTTAAGATTCAGACTACAGTGATAAAGCTAATTAAATTGATTAACAGATTCTTAAGTTATTTGGTTCTCATTTTTTGAATAAATAATAATCGGTTGACTTGAAAAGAATGAAACCTTAGAAAACATTGAATTATCCACTACTGTTAATGTTCATGGATCAATAATTAATTAATTCCATAATGATCTATGTTGGTTTTATAAACGATATTATTCTGTCATCTTGGTTCGCAGTCAATTTCTTATATACAACTAAGTTACCCATATCTGTTACTCCAAATTTGAAACTTATTCATGCTCAGTTCGAGTAATTAAAACAAAACATATGAGTTCATTTCACTTCTGAATAGTTATTATGCCCTAATGAACTTGCAGTCTAAATAACTGTACATACGTAATGTGTTACTTTAACAAAGTTTTCTAAAATATATTTACAAAGCTATTGAAAGTGTATCATACTATGCTTCTCCGTATTGCATCCATTTTGTTACGTAACTATTATCTGACCGAATCTCTCTTACCCACTTGTAATTAGTTTAAATTATTTAATAAGGAGATTTTTGTAAAAATGTTTAAATAAAACAGAAAAGAATTTTCATTCGAAACTGAATTGAACTAAAACATCATTGTAAATTAAAAATCACTGGTTGATTATTTTGTTCAAAACGGTCTCTGTACAAAAATGTGCACCCTCATATGGGGGTTTTTCGAACCTTCACTTTTATTAGTCAGTACAGAGTCTTAACAAAAGTCGATTTGAATCATAGATTTCACATTCCAAACATTTAATAATTTATGATGTAGTACAATGTTTATTCAATATGATTAGTCTCTGAATAATTACAATGTTTCATGATTTTTTGTGAACACTGAATAAGTGACTATAACGTCACTAGCTCACAATAACTGCTCAATATTTTAAATAGACTTTATACCAATATCTGTTTATTTCATGGAGTTAGTTGATTTCATAGTCTCGAATTTCTACACAGTTAATTCATGTTGAATGACTAAATATATTTGCAATCATTCAATAATCTATTGCTCATTCAGTCTTTTCTATATTAACCATTAACTTGAGCTACCACTGAAATGGATTTCTGATAAACAAAAAATCGATATCTTTAATTGATTACCTTTGTTTACAAAAAGATTTCTTTCAAGTAATGAATATCAAAGAAGAATTGGTTTACAATAACAAATAGTTACTGAGTACGTCATTTACAAATTACTATTATTATTATCATTATTATTTTGCTTTATCTGAAAAACTATTTACAACTAAGGTTAACTGAAAAGTCTTATTGGTTCTCATTTGAAAAACCTTAGAAGTGCTCATAGAAGAACTCGTTAAGACTTCAGGAACTTTATATCTCTTAGTGATCATAGTGCCTTAATATAATAATCATGTTTTGTTATATTTGATCACTGTTTTATGTTCAGTTTAAATATGCTTCATTTGTCATAATCTCAAGAGTTTATACTAAAACTTGTCAATTGTAAGATGATTGTAGTTTACCAGATTTGTTGTACAGATCGACTCCATTTTGAATTAATTTTTGTGGCAACTCGAACTGATGTACGTACGTACGTACGAAGTTCTACATTGTTACTGACTGATTGACTACTGACATAAATTGTAACTATAGATTTTGAGCATACTGTTTACAACTATAACCTTTACTGAGAAATTTAAAATTCAATTCCTAATGAAGTTTTGATTATCTACTTCTATGGAATTTTAAAATAAAGCTTTACAATCACATAGTGCTCCTTAATTTTCATTCCAGAATGAAAATTATCTTCACAATTAAACATAAAATTATTCATAAAAATTTGTTTTCACTTGTCAAACATTACTGTAACATGTATTTTCTTTCGGCTACACACACGCGCACACACACACATACATACATACACATACACTCAAAAGCACATTACAATGTTTCATTTACACATGTTAACAAATACAATACTCAATATTGTGTCTAGTAGTTTTATTACTATACTGCATTCCATGGAAGAATCAATAAATCACTACAGTTATTTATCATACGATAAAAATCTATGTTCTTTTTTTCATTTGTACCAATTAAATCAGTCAACTTAACATGATCTGATTTCCTTTATTGATTTATAAAATACTTGTTCATTAGATAAATGTTTAATTGGTTTAATATTCTGTTGAATAAAGTATTTGATTCACATTGATTAGTCTAATGATTATAGATAGATCTTACGATTTTCTTAGTGTACATCTTACGTTAAATTGATACTTAACAATGTTGAACAATTTAGATGAGAAATATACGTAACTTCAAAATTGTGATTAAAAGATCATTTGAAGTCAGAGTTATTATTTTAATCACTAGTTATGTAGTAAAAGAGAACACAGGTGAGGACAATGCAAAATTACAAAGTTACTTGGTAAAATAGAAGAAACCATACTATAATACTTAGTAAAATGTTCAATAATTGTCTCGAACTTCGTTGTTCTTGCATTTCCATACTAATTGTTTTCTATTCCCGCTCTTTCTTTCTTGATCTTCCCCATCTTCTGCTGCCCGATATTACATTCCTGACTCGCGTCATATACTACTTATATCAATATAAGTAGCACGCATCACAGTTATATTATTGAGATAAAAAACTTCAAAATTTCAAGAATATTTTATAGATAGGTTTAATGACAAAATCTTTAAACTAATGTAATATGTATGTGTTGAGCTGGAAAGAATCATATTTTTCTCCTAAGATTATACTTCGCTCCATTCCATTCCATAACCAAAGATGTTATGACTCAAAAGATTCTAATAAATACTGTAAACTTGTGAATGATACTTAGTATTTGATTGATTGATTTCATAAAACTATCAGCTAAGTTGATGATTTTTGATTAGAATAAAACAAATCAGTAGTGATACAATAATTACACTCATGCTCAAAGATATTGAAGATGTATTGACTCAGATTATTTTTAACAATATCTATGTTTAATTTACTTGATATTGTTTTATTTGAATCTTCCCATTGATGTTTTAGGACTAAAGTTGATCAGTCTCTTATTGGCATATGTGCATACTGTGCGTATGCCTCGATATTGCCTTAATTTACAAGCATTATAAGCAGAGATGGATAGTGGCTAGCAATCGAATCCAGGACGCGCGTTTCGTCTTGTTTGGGACTCGTCAACTGGATGTACCTGACAATAAGAGACTGATCAACTTCAGTCCTAAAACATCAATGGGAAGATTCAAATAAAACAATATCAAGTAAATTAAACTTCACCCCATTGCACAAGCAAGTGGCTATCAGGACTCAGTAGCTAAGTGGATAACGCGATGGCGTTTGAAGCGAACGGTACTGAGTTCGACTCCAGAGTGAACATTAACTCTGAGATGCAGGTACATCCAGCTGACGAGTCCCAAACAGGACGAAACGCGCATCCTGGA